TTCATATGATGCTTGCACTAATGTTGCGTTTCCTTGATGAAAACTTCCTGTTCGATCAAGTCTCTGGCGTTTGCTTCTAGCTTCATGCCGACAAAAGCTCCATATTTTTCTGCTGTGTTACGAACGACTCGTCCCAAAATGATTATAGTTTTGAAGGTTTTATAAACTCATGACTAAGAACAACTTTGCACAGTATGCATTGTTTCCCCTCTGTTCCATTTCCAGTTAATTCAGTAAAACCGAATTTCAGACACTCTTCTAAATATTTAGTTTTTTTTTTTCATTGCCAAGGTTTATTCTAATTAGCGACCAGCTGGCGACACCCCCCCCCCTCCAATGGCAGCCACGACCCACAGTTTGGGGACCCATGTCATAGGGCCTACTGACCACTATTATGTATTTTATCATGAAAAAAAAACCGTTCTAACTTTCAATGCTTTACTCAAGTTGTGTTCACAAGCTTGTAGCACGACCTAACCACTTGTTTTACCAGCTTGTAGCACCACCAAACAACTTGTGTAAAACGTTTATAGCACCACCAAACAACGTGTGTTACAAGCTTGTAGCACCACCAAACAACGTATTTTACCAGCTTGTAGCACCACCAAACTACTTGTGTTACAAGCTAGTAGCACCACCAAACAACGTGTGTTACAAGCTCATAGCACCACCAAACTACTTGTGTTACAAGCTTGTAGCACCACCAAACAACGTGTGTTACAAGCTTGTAGCACCACCAAACCACTTGTGTTACAAGCTTGTAGCACCACCAAACAACGTGTGTTACCAGCTTGTAGCACCACCAAACAACTTGTGTAAAACGTTTATAGCACCACCAAACTACTTGTGTTACAAGCTTGTAGCACCACCCAACAACGTATTTTACCAGCTTGTAGCACCACCAAACTACTTGTGTTACAAGCTTGTAGCACCACCAAACAACGTGTGTTACAAGCGTGTAGCACCACCAAACAACGTATTTTACCAGCTTGTAGCACCACCAAACTACTTGTGTTACAAGCTAGTAGCACCACCAAACTACTTGTGTTACAAGCTTGTAGCACCACCAAACTACTTGTGTTACAAGCTTGTAGCACCACCAAACAACGTGTGTTACAAGCTTATAGCACCACCAAACTACTTGTGTTACAAGCTTGTAGCACCACCAAACAACGTGTGTTACAAGCTTGTAGCACCACCAAACCACTTGTGTTACAAGCTTGTAGCACCACCAAACAACGTGTGTTACAAGCTTGTAGCACCACCAAACAACTTGTGTTACAAGCTAGTAGCACCACCAAACAACTTGTGTTACAAGCTAGTAGCACCATCAAACGACGTGTGTTACAAGCTTGTAGCACCACCAAACCACTTGTGTTCTCAAGCTTGTAGCACCACCAAACCACTTGTGTTCACAAGCTTGTAGCACCACCAAACAACTTGTGTTACAAGCTAGTAGCACCACCACACAACTTGTGTTACAAGCTTGTAGCACCACCAAACAACGTGTATTACAAGCTTGTAGCACCACCAAACCACTTGTGTTACAAGCTAGTAGCACCACCAAACAACGTGTATTACAAGCTTGTAGCACCACCAAACCACTTGTGTTACAAGCTTGTAGCACCACCAAACTACTTGTGTTACAAGCTAGTAGCACCATTAAACTACTTGTGTTACAAGCTTGTAGCACCACCAAACCACTTGTGTTCACAAGCTTGTAGCACCACCAAACAACGTGTGTTACAAGCTTGTAGCACCACCAAACCAAAACACTTGTGTTACAAGCTTGTAGCACCACCAAACAACGTGTGTTACAAGCTAGTAGCACCACCAAACAACTTGTGTTCAAAAACTTGTAGCACCACCAAACTACTTGTGTTACAAGCTTGTAGCACCACCAAACAACGTGTGTTACAAGCTAGTAGCACCACCAAACTATTTGTGTTACAAGCTTGTAGCACCACCAAACCACTTGTGTTACAAGCTTGTAGCACCACCAAACAACGTGTGTTACAAGCTAGTAGCACCACCAAACAACTTGTGTTCAAAAACTTGTAGCACCACCAAACTACTTGTGTTACAAGCTTGTAGCACCACCAAACAACGTGTGTTACAAGCTAGTAGCACCACCAAACTATTTGTGTTACAAGCTTGTAGCACCACCAAACCACTTGTGTTACAAGCTTGTAGCACCATTAAACAACGTGTGTTACAAGCTAGTAGCACCACCAAACTATTTGTGTTACATGCTTGTAGCACCACCAAACCACTTGTGTTACAAGCTTGTAGCACCATTAAACAACGTGTGTTACAAGCTAGTAGCACCACCAAACTACTTGTGTTACAAGCTAGTAGCACCACCAAACAACGTGTGTAACAAGCTTGTAGCACCGCCAAACCAGTTTACACCACCACCAAACCAGTTGTGTTCATATGTTTGTAGCAATACCAAACCACTTGTGTTGACACTTTGTACCAAACCTGCTGTGCAAACAGCTACATGAGACGACGTCGTCTAGAAAAGGAACCAGAGAGCACAGGTTCGGTACCAGGTCTGGTCTCGATAACTTAGACCGCCTAGCATCCGAACTTCCAATAAAAACAAGAAATGCCTACACTCGGGGAGATGGGGGATTTTGGTGGATACATCTAGCGTTTGACAACTAAGGTTAGAAAATAAAAGACGCTTAGATAATAGTTTAGTGTAAACAGGTACAGATACTAGATATACAAAATCTGTATATTTATAAGTATCGGTATGTAAAAATAAAAGTGTACTTATATGACTAACATTCTATTTTCTAGAAGTTTCTTACTATTTACTAGCTAGGTCATTGCATAATTAGACTTGAAAAGACTCACTTATCATCTTATTATTATTATTGAACTTGATAGATTATAAATGCTGAGGTTAAAGCAAACACCTGCCGAGTAGATAGTTTAAATCAATTTTTAGAAATTACCTACTGGTTTTTACAAGGCTCAACTTGTAAATTAGATTTTAAATTTACACAGTAAATTGTGTGGACTGTTACTTAAAGATAATAACACGTTGATTTATAGATGAAAAAATCCAAGGTCAAACTAACATAATACCGACACCGAAAATGTGAAAATCTACGGCACAGCATAGGTCAATCTATCATAACAAGATGAGGCGATCCTTAAGAACATAAATTAAAAGCTACCACTGTATAATTCACCTGAAACATACAAAATGAAGGAATCTCTTCTACTAAAAATAATTCTGTTACTAAACTTGTATAGTATGTGATTTTTATTACACTTGATTTAGCCCCAATTCTAATGTTGATTCATACAATAGTATGTGATTTGATTGTAAGACAAATCTCAGGACAAATGATCACAGGACAAATGATCTCAGGACAAATGATCTCAGACACAACATCTCAGACAAAATACACGGCAAAAAATGTATAGTATTTGAGATGATTTTAGTCAAATTCAACAGTAAAAAGTTTTTTTTTTAATTATCTTAAGGATTTTACTTAACTTTTTACACAAAATAATTGTGAGAAAAAGTTTGTAGTATAGGTTTGTCATTAAATATATTTAAATTGCGATTAGAAATATATTATTCGTAGATTCAAACTATTTCGATAGACAGTGTATGTGAGCTTACCTATCATGAGACTTTGCTACCAAATTTTGTGGACAAAACTAGATCGAGGATTGCTCGTCTATTGGTGGACTGGTTATGAAAATATGCCTAAGCAGCAAGGTGGCCACTCGCTTTTTTGGTGGAGAACAAATTCGCTCACCTAGGACAATAAAATTATGATCCATAGTCCATAGTAACGATATATTTCGGACACAACTTGCTGATCATGTGACTCATACTTACATTAAAGACAGCAGTTACTGCGGTGCTAAGTTATTCATAGTGTGCAGGCAAACTAAGCACTACTTGTGCTGATGACTCCAGAAGGGTATCTACACTTTTAAGAAGTTAGATTTACGTTGGACAACAACCAGCATTGACGATTTAATAGAAACATCTATTTCACATTACGAACTTGTAGACTCAAACTTCCTTTTTGAAAACTATTTCACATGTTTTAAAGTTTAATGTGGTAAAGACTATCATCATTTTATTGTTTTCTGCATTTTTATGTCTAATACTTTCATTTAAAATGATAATTGAAAAATAAAATTGGCCAAGTCTTTTGAGGGTTTGTTTATATAGTTTAATTTATTCATGTAGTATATATCACTATAATTATGTGTTAAAAAAAATAAAACCAAATGACATTCAATTTAAAAATGTTAAATTCGACTTACATATCTTAAATACTATACATTTGTTACGGTGAGATGTTTAGTCAGAGATATTTTGTCTGAGATACTTTGTCCATGATATCTTTTGTCAGTGAGATAATTTTTCCTTGTGATCATTTTTTATGAGATCATTTTCCGTGAAATATTTTATCTGGGATATTTAGTCTGGATCATTTGTCATGAGATGAATTGTCCTGTCACTTGCATTACCCCCAATACTAATGTAGCACATTCACAAAAATATAATCTTGCCTGTTCTACCTCCAGTCCTAATGCCCCATACAATAAAACATAAATCTCCCCTTGTCTGAACAAGTTTATCTTGCTCTACCTCCAGTCCTAATGTCGCCCCTTACAATAAAACATAAGTCTCCCCTTGTCTGGATAAGTTTATCTTGCTCTACCTTCAGTCCTAATGTCGCCCCATACAATAAAACATAAATCTCCCTTTCTCTGAACAAGTTTATCTTGCTCTACCTCCAGTCCTAATGTCGATCCATACAATAAAACATAAATCTCCCCTTGTCTGAACAAGTTTATTACTCCACTCATGTCCACAACAGAAGCCGACACTACAACAATCTGTAAGTAGCACATGTTGTTGACGTGGTTCTGATGACCGGATATAGTTGTCTTTGGTTTAATTTCCTTCTGCCATCTTTGGTCTACGTGTTAAAGAAAAGTGAGTAGAAACACAGTTTAAAAAGCTGTTTTCTGGTTTTTACTAGTGCACTAGGTAAGTTCCCCTGTATATTTTACTAGTTTTATTTAAACTTTAATCCTTCATTAAAGTGCAATACAGAGTTTTTAATATTCAAGTTGCACATACTTTACCTAACAGTGGCATCAGTTGACAGGTTTTTTTTTTTAAAAAAGCACTTTAGTAGAGACGCATTCAAGATTTGTGTCTATGTTATGTAATCAAAGTGGTAATTAAAATATAAAATTACTTAATAAATAGGGTAGGCGTTGTCGAGTCGGTAAAGCTCATGGTTGCTAAACCGAAAAGTCTCGAGTTCGAACCCTTGGGCAGATGAGGCTGGGGACAGCCACTTTTCTAGGAGAGACAACTCCAAAATTAAACAACTGCTGCCTTGTAGTTTGTTCTTGGTTGGATAAAGGCTATGGAAGCAAATCCAAAAAGAAAAACAGGCTGAAATCTGAGTCAATGGCCTCAATGGCGCATAACCAGTTGACACGTAACGCTTAATTGTGATGGAGGCGTGGTCGAGTCGGCAAAAAGTTCATGGTTGATAAATTAAATTCGGACACTGGCAGATAAAACTCGATCACCTTCAACACTAATAATTAAGAACGAAGAAGAAGAAGAAGACTTAATAAATTTCCATGTTAATTAATTAAAAACTCAATCTATGTTTATAGACGTCTGACCTCCATCGCCATGATGATGCTTCAGCTTACGGTCTTTGTATTTCTGTCAAATATACTTTCCTTTGGTTGTGTGGACATTTATCCGATCCAGACCTTCGACAACAGCACATTTAACCACACCAAACGGTCGTTTGCTGATGGTAGAACAAATGTAAGTGTACATCGATCTGGCTTTGTTTATGACTTGGTTATTGTTTAAAGCATTTGGTCAAAATTTTATAGAGCTGAAACTTTTTCCACTTTAAGAGTAAAAATGTAGCTCCAGACAAAAATATAAACTTTATCGGTTTAGGCCACACCAAATTCTACATTTTATAAAACGAATTCGCTTGGAAACGACATAAGACAAAATGAAATGAAAAATCAATATCGAAACAAAAAGAATGACAACAACAGTAGGCATATATATATATATATATATATATATATATATATATATATATATATATATATATATATATATATATATATTTATATATATATATATATATATATATATATATATGTGTGTGTGTGTGTATGTATATATATATACATGTATATATAATACATATTAAATTACACATATTACATACTAGCCGTCCCGGCCAGGCCCTGCTCTGGCTTCTGTGAAAAACCTTTCTGTTAAAGACCATTACCTGTGTGTTTAGTAATCATCATAAACCCGGCATTGCCCACCCAAACCACAACCAACCAAAACAACAAAACGCAAACATAACGCTAACACAATTACAAATACAAACGAAAACAAAAACCTAACAACAAACCCAACCACAACCACAAACACCAATACAAACACAAAGAAAAAACAAACAAAAAAGCAAACGAAAACAAAAACCTAACAACAAACCCAATCACAAACACCAATACCAACAAAAAAAAAACAAAAAAAACGAAAAAGCAAACGAAAACAAACCAAATCCAAACGCAAAACCAACCAAAAACACAAATACAAACACAAACAAAAAAACACAAACAAAAACAAAAAAAGAAAGAACAAAAACGAACCAAATCAAAACGCAACCACTAACGCAAACCCTAAACACAAAGAAAACACTAACGCGAACATAAACGCCCGGGGCGGAATCACCTGTTTTAGCTTAATGAACGACTATAGTACCCCAACTTATTCATAGTCTTTTGCACTCACTTAAACGAACGCGCCTGTTTCAATTTAATGAACAATTTTAATACCCCAAGCTTATCCGTAAAATACCTACAACATTTGCACTTGATCAATCCCCGCTAATTATGTAATTATTTTTTTTTCCCAACACCAAAACAAAGTAATAAAAAGTAAATTCTTTTCCACTAAATGCAGTGGTTTTATAAAGGGAAGTAATTGTGTTTTCCTAATTTATCAAAGGGAAGTAAGTGCTATAGGGTCTAGGACTAAATAAAGACATACTTAGAATTTTTGTAAAAGATGATATTTTTTTAAAACTTGTGTTTAATGAACATGCCGACAATTGTTATTATAATTTGAAAAATGAAAATTATTTCCCAACACTTTCAATAGTAATGTTTTAACTCATAAATTTAGACAAATGCGCACGATAATTGTCTAACACTTAAATCCATCCAAGACCAACGACAAACATATGCGTTACATACAGAACTGAGCTTTATATATTAGATTATATCTTACATATTGTTAATTTGATCAGATAAATAGTTTGTTAACGAAACTATTACACAAAATATCTGTCATATTTTTATGATCACGTTTTGTTTTATAACACTACCAAAAAATATTCTGAGCTTTGATACAACAACAATTTGTCACGACGAACACAGTTGTCTTAAAAATTGTGTTGTGACTTCTAATCTGATCGTAATCTACGCAGTACCCAATCCCTTACACTGGGGAAATTCGTTTTCCAATGTACGACGGAAAAGAGGTTATCATTGAAGGAGTGAGAACGTCTTCATCGAACAGGTGACTGCATCTTATTTTATTTATTGAAGATGAAAATTTCCTATTCCTACAGTTTAGGCAGTGTGTTTTAGATTATGTTAGGTTTATACTTAATGTAATGGACCCAACGTTTTTCATGAAATGTTGTCCGTCCATTATTGTTATCATGTATAATAATCGTGTTTTTGTCAATCAGTTTTGCCTTTATAGCAACCATTCAAAAAAACCTAAAGCCTGAAAGAATATACCAAATTAGTAATCGTTTAAGAATCTATGTTGTAAAATTTATGCAGAGAATTTAGAAACTGTTTGATACCGTCTAATGATTAGTTTTAATTTATTTTGAAGTTATTTTGAAGTTATTTAAAACGTATTACAAAAATAGTGTTTTATCTTGCACACGTTCTGGGAAGCAAGTTGAATAACGGTTGGCCTTTATTAATTTTTACATTATGTTATATGGTGCAGAATGTGAGACTAAGACGGTGAAATTAGAATTAAAAACATGGGCGTAGACCCGTTTTGTATTCATACAGTTTAACGTACGTTATATGAGATTCAGAATACATGCATTACATTGTAATAATATAATTGTTCTAGGTTTATAGTTGCGCTGTGCGAGAGTGCTAACTGCAACGCTGACCAACAAATGCATATGAGTGTTCGGAAGAACACCGGAAAAATTCACATTAGTTCTAAAAGAAACAACATGTGGGGACCGGAGTACACGTTTGAAGCCGCGTCACTAATGACTGGAACTGAAATTAGGATAAAACTTATAATACATGACATCAAGATTAAGGTAACTCATTTTTAAATGATTACACAAGGTTGAAGATTTTAAGATTATTTTAATTAGCGTTTTTAAACGATTACTTTTAGTTGAACAGGCTTAAGTCTAGTGATAATTTATTTTGTATTCACCAGATTTACTTTAAAGACGTTTTCCTTACAGACTTAAGTCTACGAGGTGTAAACAAACAAACAATTAAATACGTATCAGTGCGTGAGAGTATTTTTGTGGAATGGATACTGTACAGTGTATGTATCTAATGCAGTATATTTATACGGTTTAAAATTCAAAATTCAAAATTCAAAATTCAAAATTCAAAATTCAAAATTCAAAATTCAAAATTCAAAATTCAAAATTCAAAATTCAAAATTCAAAATTCAAAATTCAAAATTCAAAATTCAAAATTCAAAATTCAAAATTCAAAATTCAAAATTCAAAATTCAAAATTCAAAATTCAAAATTCAAAATTCAAAATTCAAAATTCAAAATTCAAAATTCAAAATTCAAAATTCAAAATTCAAAATTCAAAATTCAAAATTCAAAATTCAAAATTCAAAATTCAAAATTCAAAATTAAAAACTCAAAATTCAAAATTCAAAATTCAAAATTAAAAACTCAAAACTCAAAACTCAAAACTCAAAACTCAAAGCTCAAAGCTCAAAACTCAAAACTCAAAACTCAAAACTTAAAACTAAAAACTCAAAACTCAAAACTCAAAACTCAAAACTCAAAACTCAAAACTCAAAACTCAAAACTCAAAACTCAAAACTCAAAACTCAAAATTCAAAATTCAAAATTCAAAATTCAAAATTCAAAATTCAAAATACAAAATACAAAATACAAAATACAAAATTCAAAATTCAAAATTCAAAATTCAAAATTCAAAATTCAAAATTCAAAATTCAAAATTCAAAATTCTAAATTCAAAATTCAAAATTCAAAACTCAAAACTCAAAACTCAAAACTCAAAACTCAAAACTCAAAACTCAAAACTCAAAACTCAAAACTCAAAACTCAAAACTCAAAACTCAAAACTCAAAATTCAAAATTCAAAATTCAAAATTCAAAATTCAAAATTCAAAATTCAAAATTCAAAATTCAAAATTCAAAATTCAAAATTCAAAATTCAAAATTCAAAATTCAAAATTCAAAATTCAAAATTCAAAACTCAAAATTCAAAATTCAAAATTCAAAACTCAAAACTCAAAACTCAAAACTCAAAATTCAAAATTCAAAATTCAAAATTCAAAATTCAAAATTCAAAATTCAAAATTCAAAATTCAAAATTCAAAATTCAAAATTCAAAATTCAAAATTCAAAATTCAAAATTCAAAATTCAAAATTCAAAATTCAAAATTCAAAATTCAAAATTCAAAATTCAAAATTCAAAATTCAAAATTCAAAATTCAAAACTCAAAATTCAAAATTCAAAATTCAAAATTCAAAATTCAAAATTCAAAATTCAAAATTCAAAACTCAAAACTCAAAATTCAAAATTCAAAATTCAAAATTCAAAATTCAAAATTCAAAATTCAAAATTCAAAATTCAAAATTCAAAATTCAAAATTCAAAATTCAAAATTCAAAATTCAAATCTCAAAACTCAAAATTCAAAATTCAAAATTCAAAATTCAAAATTCAAAATTCAAAATTCAAAACTCAAAACTCAAAATTCAAAATTCAAAATTCAAAATTCAAAATTCAAAATTCAAAATTCAAAATTCAAAATTCAAAATTCAAAATTCAAAATTCAAAATTCAAAATTCAAAATTCAAAATTCAAAATTCAAAATTCAAAATTCAAAATTCAAAATTCAAAATTCAAAATTCAAAATTTAAAATTCAAAATTCAAAATTCAAAATTCAAAATTTAAAATTCAAAATTCAAAATTCAAAATTCAAAATTCAAAATCACTCTCCGTAATAGTGAACACACAACGCAACCTCCCAGGTATTAGGGACATAGTAGGGACCGCTGGGGACTCTCGATTACACTTCCCCAGGGGTACCGCATACGGCCTCTGGCTTGATTTAATCAATATGGTAGGGGGTCAGGGGTACTACTTAATTTAACGGTAAAACTACACCAGATGCATAAGCCGGAGTCATTAGCACTGCGGGCTCCTCCGTGAGCAATATGGCGCATACGTTCGATTTAAAGAGTGCAATTAACTAATAAGTCCATGCGTTATTATTCGTGCGGCGTCAATTCGGCCAATGACGAAACGGCCCCGTCAAAACGACCCCGACAAAACGACCCCGTCAAAACGACCCCGTCAAATCGGCCCCGTCAAAAGGGCCAGCGACATATGGACCCCGTCATATAGGCTCCCGACAAATAGGCTCCCGTCATTTAGGCTACCGACAAATAGGCTCCCGTTAAATAGGCTCCCGAAAAAAGGGCTCCAGTCAATAAGGCTCCTGACAAATAGGCTCCCGTCATTTTGGCTCCCGACATATAGTCTCCCGTCATTTAGTTTTTCCACAAAACGGCACCCGTCATTACGACTCCCGACAAATAGGCTCCCGCCATTTAGTTTCTCCACAAAACGGCCCCCGTCATTACGACTCCCGACAAATAGGCTAGCGTCATTTTGGCTCCCGACAAAAAGGCTCCTGTCAATTTGGCTCCAGACAAAAGGACCACTGACATAGTGGCGTAGCTGCCGTAAAGCTAGCGTAAGCAAGGCATGGGGGCCCAAGGCACATAGGGGCGCTTTTCCCTCATAAAAAATTAAAACTTTTACAATGGAATTTTAATATTTGTTACATTTAAATAATTTTAAAAAAGAAAAAGGTTAAAAATTCCAAAAAGCCCCCCCCCCCCACCGTTTCGGCAGTGGGATTCAGTGTTTGTGGGTCAAACAGAGCCCAATCGTTATAATAACACTACAGGCTATATCACTTTGTCGTGCAAGACATTGAGAGAATCAGCCTATAAATAAACTTTTTAGCAGTAGTAGGCAAGCATAATAATATAGTATAAATACAAAATCAGGACATATAAAATACAAAATGTTGCCTTCAGAATATTTATATATTAAAAAATATCCATCGTAAGTAGAAGTTGATATCTTCGTTTAACTCCTCTGTAGCCTAACGCAGAGGCGTAGCGAAGGCGAGGCGGGGGGTGCGGACCGCAACGGGTGACACCATTTAGGGGGGGTGACACCAAACGCAAAAAATTGTAAAATTTATAGAATGAAATGCCATTTTCCAGATCCATTAGTTAAAGTTAAATAGTCTTCTAAGTACAAATCGAAAATTATATCAAGAGGGGGGTGGGGGGTGTGACACCACGACGTAAACGTAAACTATAAAGAAAACAATGCTACATCCAACTGTATTATAAACAGACTGTAGATAAACATCGTTACTATTAAGTCAGCAGTGATTAAAGCTTAAACACGTACGTGTACCAGTATGTAGCATATATATAAATTTTAGGCCTATGTAGGCCGACACACACACACACACACACACACACACACACACACACACACACACACACACATATATATATATATATATATATATATATATATATATATATATATATATATATGTATATATGCTTTGTTTCCTGAGAGGGGGTGACAAAACGAAGTGCCGCACCGGGTGAGACCCGACCTAGCGACGCCACTGGCCTAACGGCTGACGAAGGGGCCCACTGATAATTTTTGCATAGGTGCCCAAAAATCCTAGCTACGCCACTGCACTGACAATACCGTTTCTGTAGAGACTAAGTCTCCCGGCAAAGCGGTCTCATTGAATATGACATCTGCCAGTGGGACCCCTTCATCAATATTCTTTAGAGTTAGCTTATCCAACACTCTTATGTAATACAACGTATGCATCTCTTGTTCGGTATTTTTATATTAGTTTATCTATTATAAAATATAGTATGTTTTAATTTAAAGGTCATCTATCTATGACATCCATAATTGAGTCGGTTATAGGCTGTTCCAACTCATTGTGTGGGGAGAAGGGTCCACGCTGTACCTTCCTAACTGCAATATGCTTGTACAGGGGCGTAGCGAGGGGGGGGGGGCGGGGGGTGCGGACCGCACCGGGTGACACCATTTAAGGGGGTGACACCAAGGCAAAAAATAGCAAAATATATAGAGAAAAAGTTGAGGGGGTGGGGGTGCAAATCGAAAGTTTGGGGGGGGGGTGCAAATCGAAAACTTGAAAGTTTGTCCCCGGGAAGGGTCGCAACGCCTCTGGGGGGGGGTGACACCATTAAGTGCCGCACCGGGTGACACCCGACCTTATGTTAACATCATGTATATCATACATTTACACTTCTGTGCTCGCCAATAGTGGTCATATCATTCATTTTTCTGGAGCCAATATGTCGGGAGTCATTTTGTCAAAAGCCAATATGTCGGGAGCCCAATTGCCGGGAGCCAATATGTCGGGAGCCCATTTGTCGGTAGCCAAAATGTCGTGAGCCCATTTGCCGGGAGCCCATTTGTCTTGAGCCCTTATGTCGGGAGCCAATATGACGGGAGCCGCTTTGTCGGGAGCCAATATGTCCTGAGCCTATTTGTCAGGGGTTAATATGTCGGGAGTCCATTTGTCGGGAGCCTAAATATCGGGAGCCCATTTGTCGGGAGCCTATATGTCGCAAGTCAATATGACGGGAGCCCATTTGACGGGAGCCAATAAGTCGGGGCCCTTTTGACGGGGCTATTTTGACGGGGTCGGTTTGTCGGGAGTCGATTTGACGGGGTCGTATTAACGGGGCCGTTTTGACGGGGCCGATTTGTCCCGGGCCGTTTTGACAGGGCGCCGTTATTATTAGGGGTAAACTGGTTGAGTAGAAGATTTTTAAGGGACGCCGGGTTAGATTTTTCATTGCGCATTTCCCCCCCCCCCCCACCCCCCTCATCAAAGCCTGAATTTACGCATCATGACCGGGGATTTTTATCGTGTGCGTCCGTCGGAGATCGGATGACCCGGAGCACCATGGGATACTTATGATCGCTATGGAGCCACGTTAGTTTAAATAGCACTAGTCAACACTGCGGTACTTTAACTGGCTTATTTGGATAGAGCACCAACGACGATCCTGATACTTGGGCGGTCGCCATGGTGTGCTCTACCTTACTATTATGGAGGGTAAATAACGTATACTTAAGGCGTTAACAAAGGACGTCCTGGGGGGGGGGGGGGGGTCTGGGCGAGAGTGTGAGCAAATCCGCTCTCAAACAACTAAGATCCAATATAGCACAAGCGCGGTTAACACTTGAATAACTCAGTTTCAGAAAAACAAAGTCTAAAATTACAACATTGGTAACGCATTGATGAAAATCCTCTTAAAATATTGTGTCAGCTTGCAGCAACCCACGCGACGGGTACGCTAGCCTTAAAATATTGTGTCAGCTTGCAGCAACCCACGCGACGGGTACGCTAGCATCCTATTTAATAAGTGGCTTATTTCGTCCGGGCGCTCTCGGAAACCACCGTTTACACTACTGCAGTCGCTGAGTACGCACCTTAGTTTGGTAAAATCGTCGAATGTTGTGTCCCTATTGTTAGATGCTCTTTAAAACAGAAGTAGGCGCCAATAATGCTAACAGGGGAGATGGCGGAGCTGCAGTCCCCCGATCGCGTCAGTGGTCAGCTGACCGTCCCACATGAGCGTGCAGCTCCTGTATTTTCATTGGTCTCTCTAACCAACAAGCTATAGCCTGTTTGTATTAACTTTTTCTACTTGACCTATCCAACCTAAACTAGCGTCAACACAGTAGTCCCATTCCAGTTTTTGTGACAAAAAAATTTTTATGAGTAAATTGAAGCAGCTAAATTAATATTTTTTTCATGGCTAATTACTTGATTATTCAAAATTCAAAGAAAAAATTCTATTAACAAATAATTCCATCCGTCATCAACATACAAAGTATGTATATATCTATATTCTACTTAAAAAAATAGAAAACAAATAATTGAAAATTAAACACAAAAATAAAGTATTAAGTAAGAAACAAGTAAGTTAAGCTGGCACAAACTTTGAGCTAATATTAGATTTAATTATTTCTTATGTTTTTGTTTCAGATAACCTTTCCTGTAAGTAAATTAAGGTTGACTACGAATGAAATATTTGTTTTAATTAATACTGCTATATTATTTTGCTATGTAGTCCCGTCACGGTAGAATATCTATTAAATTATGATTATGTTGACCTTTTAATTGCCTTGGCGATGACTGTTTGTGAAGTGGATTGAGATCTTATAATTCTAGACAGATAATACAACAGACGAGGAAGCCATTTTATGTACGCCTTGTTTATTCTGTATCGGAAACGGAAACATTACATGCAAGGGACATCACTCAAACATTATAAGACTAATACAAGAAGAATGAGTTCTCCCCCAAAATAAAGCTTAATATATTACAGTTTGGTTATATTTTAAAATTCTGCACTGGCCTAATTCATTAATTTGTCTCAAATTATAAGCTTTTAATTCTATCCCATTATGAGGGTTCCACACTTCCTGTTAAAAGATGGCCGGCTGGAGAAAAGATAATCATTAGAGGAACACCAACAAGGAACACTCTGTAAGTGTTATAATTAATTTGCACATGTAAATTAATGAACAATTGAATATTCACAGCAGTTAACAGTATAGATTTGTTACTACAGTAACAAGACTAGACTGCTGCGTCCAAAAATAAAAATTACGTTAGCTGTTGAGTGAAAGTTAGGCAGAACTTCTAACCACTTCATCGACTTATTGCTCTTGTTTAAATATTCTAATAGGGGTTTCCATCAAGCTCATTTAAGTAGTTTTGTATAAGGAAATTAAAAGAAATAACTTCTCTTAATTGTTTTTAAAATAAGGCAAATTAAAAAATGACTTAGTTATAAAACGTAATTAGTTTCAAACTAAATATTATAAAAATGTCATAAAAAAACGTTTTAATAACAAGCTTTTATGTAATAATGCACTAAATAAGTGAGTCAAATAAAAGCTTGTAAAAAAGCGAAACAGCATAAGAATAAAACAAACGCAAAAAGAAATTTCAAATATCAAACTTCAGTTTATCATAAACTCTTGACCGATTTTCCACGGGCATAAATGGGATCAATACGTTTTTATTTATTATTTCAGGCCATAAATTAGTTGGGCCTATTTCTGTGTGTCTTTTTAGTCTCATACTAGATATACTTTGCAATGAAATATGTTTAAGTACAAAGTTAGGAAGTTGTTAAATTTAAAATTTAGTCTACTAAGATATATATATATATATATATATATATATATATATATATATATATATATATATATATATAAATGATATATATATATATATATAAATTATATATATATATATATATATATATATATATATATATATATAAATTATATATATATATATATATAAATTATATATATATATATATATATATATATATATATATATATATATATATATATATATATATATAGAGAGAGAGAGAGAGAGAGAGAGAGAGAGAGAGAGAGAGAGGGAAATTCATATCGTTTTCGTCGTTGCCCTAGCCCTAGCCCTAGCCCTAGCCCTAGCTCTAGCCCTAGCCCTAGCCCTAACCCTAGCCCTAACCCTAGACCTAGCCCAAACTCAAACTCAAACTCTAGCTTTAACCCCTAGCTGAACCTTAAGCAATAACACGGGGTGGGGGGGGGGGGGGTAATGTCATACTGGGCGGGGTAATTGACAGGGGGTAATTACTCAGGGGGGGTGGGCGGGGTTAATGACGGGGGGAATGTCCGTGGGGTAATTGACGGGGGGGGGGGGCGTAAATGCCCTGTTCCTGTTTAGAATGTTATACTTAGGTTGAAAATTAATTAGTTCTGATTTAATTTAGGTTTTCGGTCGACTTGGCATGTATTGGGGGAGGAAAATCTGATCTTGCAGTGCTCTTTAGAGTTGGATTTGTCGATGGTATCAACGTGAACACTGTATTTATAAATCACCGATTTAACGGTGAATACGGGGCGTTAGCAAGTATAAAAACAGACTTCCCCTTTCAAGTCAATGTTCCTTTCACGATGGTGTGGGTGCTACGACCACCTCTCTTGCAGGTAATCTTTGACATCGTGTGATTATTTATTAGTTTTTACTTTCTCGTATATACGAAGTATAGAGAAAGTCTTGTAATCGTGCAAAAACAAAATCGCGATTTTTACAAATCTCGACGTTTTACACCTCACTGATACGGAAAAACATATTTTTGCAATCTTGTCCGTATGTCTGTGTGCCTGTCTGTGTGTGTGTGTGTGTAAACACGATAACTTGAGTACCGTTACAGCTAGGTAGATGAAATTTTATATATAAGTATTTTATCAAAATCGTAGATCCGTAACAACTTTTGAGCGATTTCCGACAACCGGAAGTGGTATTTTTTGTACTTTGAATTTTTCAAAAGCCTATAACTTAAGTACTCTTTCAGATACATAGATCAAATTTCACATGTAAGTAAATTATCTACTAATTTTCTACCATCTCTCAAATTTTGAGTAATTTCCGTTGACCAGAAGTACTAATTTACGCTATTTTCGATTTCTCAAAAAACGCATGTAAATTTATAAAGTACTAATAATATTGCGCACTATTATGCATATTTTATTTGGCGTTCACTTGGTGTGCAATTCTTTTTTCTACGAGATTTTATTCTATTTTAAAAAGTTTAAGTATTTAAAATGGAGTTCCAATCCCCTGTTGTTTGATATAATAATATTCGAGAAAGTTTAGGGGAGATCACTCCCGGTTTATTCTTTATACGACAGAGTCAACAATACTTAGAATCAACTATACTTGTAGTCGGCGATATTTAGAATCGACAATGTCTAGAATTGATGATTCTTATGATCGAAAATACTTAGAGTCGGTGACATTAAATATTGACGATACACAGAGTTGACTTTACTTAGAATCGATTATACTTAGAGTCGGTGATACTCATCACTGGAGAGGAAAAAAATAAACATGTTTTCAATTTTTACAGTATTTCCGCCAAAATGTGTACCTACTATATTTTTATCAGCTAACTTTGGAAAATAATATGTTGATATTTTCTATAGAAATAACTACTTTAACATTTTTTCAGATTACAGTTACTAAAGCTGGGAGTTCTGGCACAAAAGATTATTCCAAGACCAACCTAAATTCATGCTATAACCAGATAGAACATTGGGGGAGAGTGACAATGTCTCAGTTTCATATGACTTAAACATATTTTTCTTCTTGTCAACAAATGAGTTTGCATAAAGGAAATGAAACTAATGCTGTTGCTTCATTTTTTTGAAGTTTAAATTTATAAATAGAACGAAACAAAAAAGTCCATGCATTAAAGTAATAACAACACAATTTGGTTGTAATGGTTTCAAATTTTTGTTCATAGAAATCATCTCTTTCAACCAAAATTGAATTTTTTTAACGTCCTAAAATATAAAAGCCCATAAGCGCACGTCTCTCTCTCTCTCTCTTCCTCTCTCTCTCTCTCTCTCTCTCTCTCTCTGTCCGCAATATATTTTGGCAACGTGATCAGTATGTTCAACAATATATGGAGCTTAAAGATATGGACTTTTGTTGAAAATAATACGGTGGATGTTATAAATGTATTAACTAAATTTTACTTAAAGAAGTAAAATAAAAATAAAGGCATATTCAAATGTAGAAACATTTCTTACTGAAGTGTTTATTATCGTGACTAGAACGCAATAAACAATGACGTCACATGCCACAAGTTTAAACTAACGAAAGGACACAAAATTAATGGTGTCATCTTCCAATTTTAGAATATAAAGAATTAAACTATTTCATTCAATTTGATTTAGATCTACTTATCAAGACGTACACTATGAAATGTTTACAATTTTATGGGCCTAAACTATTAAACTTATAAAATTCACTTTATCTATTTAGATTTTAGATCAAGATCTAGAGCTACGGAAAAACTAGACTTAAGAAATTTGTCGATTCTAGATATAGACTCTAGCTCTATCTAGATCTAGATCTAGAATGTATGCCAATAATGAGTTTCTTTAGTAAACTATTTTAGGCCTTAATTATTTCATATAAATCTTTGTTTAGATGTGGAATTGGCTAATTTGGGATACAATTTCATTTGAAATAATAGAACCTATTCGCGTAACTCAGGTTTTTTACGCTGACTCTAAATCTAAATTAAGTACCCCACTTATTCTGCGCCTCAGATGAAGTGCATAAATAGCTGAGATTATAGTGTAGTAGTTACCATATTTTTTAAGATGTGAATTACAAAGCTGCTTATCGGGACTTGGCGGGACACGGGGCAGGTGGAGTAGAGTTCACCTGTTTCTGTCTTCCCAGCATATGAAGGGATAGTGTGGTCAGACCCATGCTCAACTGAAATATGGGTTTTTAAAAGACAAAAACAACATAACTACAATTGAACAGCCGGGTTTTTAGCAAGGCATAAGGGCTCAAGGCAAATAGGGGCCCTTTTCCCTCTTTAAAAAATTAAAACATTTTCATTGGCATTTTAAATATTTCTTTTATATAAATAATTTTAAAAATAAAATGGAAATGCTGTTTCTTTTCTACTCTAGAAATAATTAAAAGTTTCCAAAAGGCCCCCAGTCCTTTCTTACTGTACAGGCATTGGCATTCAGTGGAAGGGGGGGGGGTGTCGAATAGGGCCCATCTGTCTTAAAAAACATTACAGGCGTTGTTGCATTGTAGGGGCAAGCCATTGAGATATTTAGGCTATAAATAAACATGAAGTTTGACTCTTTTGTGAGATTGGCATCCGGCACCCGTAAATTAACGTGTATCGCTACAGACATCAACTTACTAGGAAATTACCAACACCTCTCTCCTGTCTGCTCTCCCTGAAATTCCATCCTTCTATACATCCATGATAAAAATTGAGCCATTTTTAAAAATTACAACCATGGACAGTGTTTTCACAACAACATAACTCCAACACATGCCAATGTTTTTCTACAAATTTTTTCCTTAATTTAATTTCATTTGTTGATCTTTAATCAATATGGCGCTACTAATACTCTAAGTTTTTGTTTTTCATCCAATCGCCAAGAAACTTTAGGAAGTTGTTGAGAATACTCAGGCAGTTGTTTTTTCTTCTTCTGAAAAGTGGCTTGAAAGAAACTCTGACATTTGGGATGGTTTCTGGCATTATTTAAAAAAAAAATTATTTCGGGAAGCGACGCCCGGGAAGTAAGACGGTGCGGTATTGCACCCAGAGTTTCCCAGCGGCTATCGTTGCACCTGGAGCCCTTTGATTGGGTGTCCGGCGCAGCTGGCTAGCGTTACTACTTAGTTAGTTCAGCTGTCAAATTGCACAGGCACATAAGTCGGCGCCCCGGCGGTCGTGTATTCTGGTGCGCCCCGGGCTCCCCGTGAGCAATACAGCGCCTATGTTCGTTTTAATGTGCGGCATTCACTGAGGATACGGAGGGCTACTAAAATCGATTACTAAATCAAATAAGGGGTGTCCTCCAGCGCATCAGCAGAAGTCAAGGTTGGGCGCCCGAGATAGCAAGCGGCTACCTGATTGCAAGCGTGTTTTTGTGGGTGCTTGTGTGTGTGTGTGTGCTTGTGTGTGCGTGTATGTGTATATGCATGTGTTGTGTGTACACCTTGACTGTTGTATTGTGAGACAGTATCAAGTCTGGGTTTATTGATGAGTACAAATGAGTGTTACAAGTAAAAGCGACTGGTCAAGTGACTGTGGATGTGCTGTGTGCAAGAGAAAGGAAGAGGTGTGTCGAATTGGATGTAGCCGTCAGTCAAGGGTTCTGATTGGAATAAGGAAGAAGTGTTCTATTGAATTTGTCACTGAAAAGAAGTTGATATAAAACCATTTGAATCAACGGTGTCTACTCCTTACAAACCCCTGATATACGCCCCCCCCCCCCACATATTTGGTGGATCGGCGGATTTTCCTCAATTGGGAAAAGAGGAGCTGTGTGATTCTGTTCGACCAGTCGTCGAGTAGATGTGACCAAAGGGAAAAAAAATATAAGTATCACTTCACATTTTCGGGGTAGAGAATTAAATAAAAGCCAAAAACCAAGAACACGAAATTAAAAGAGAAAGAATGGACTTCGGATATGCATGCATGGAGTAGGAAAGGCTGAAAGCCTCACCGGATCAAGCCAAAAATAGCCGCAACATGTTGACAAATGTGTCAAAATTGGATGAAAACAGGGAGAACATCCTCGCGGACTTGAAGAGAATTGAGCCAGTTGTGAGAACATATGCACACATAGTGGGGGAATAATAGTAGGGGACACAACCACTTGTCCTCATAGGAAGCAAATCCTTGGATGCATTGCAAGATCTAGACCCAAACCAGATGAAAGAAACAAAGCATTAAAAGATACATTGCTAGCGTTTTAATGAGAGTTGCTATAGAAAAAAAATTCCACAACTTCTTCTTCTTCTTCTTCTTTCTAAAAAGATTTTTCAAAAACTATTTATTAAACATGAAAACGACTTACATGAAATGGTCAGAAACAACGAAAGTCTATATGAAAATTGAAAGCATATTTGAATTCATCGACAAATTGCTAACCTCAGTAGGCAAACAATTGCTTAGCTATTTACAAAAAAGGAAATCTATCACTTGAAACAAAGCTACAGGACAGATTTTCAAGTACATTATAGCGAACCCAGGCAGACCAATCTCTAATAAGAAACCAGAGAACGACTACATCTCCTTCCCCAAGACGTCGGGTGGAATAGCAGAACACTTTGGAAAAATGCCAATACAGTAATAATCGACGTTTATGCAGTAGGAATTTGGAACACAAACCAAATTTGGGAGATGTTTCCACTGTCATAAGCATGACCACATAATTTGGAAATGCCACAATAGAGATTCAAAATTTGGTATAAACCTTTAGGAGAACCTCCAAGAAACCGAGGTCCTAAGGTACAGCTTGTTTATCTATACATAAATCCGGCACTGGGTAATGGCGTGGTCGGGTGGCAGAGTGCACAGTTGCTAACCTGTGAGTCACGAGTTCGGAAACGAGGCTTACGAAGCTCCTAAATTATAGAAAGCAAGCCATCATAGAAAAAAAATTTCCTAAATGAAAGAAATATTTACTGGTGTTTTGCAGATGTATTGTGACGATTTAATGCCTTGTAAGCACACCCAGAAAGACAGACAGGCTACTGTCAAGAGGTCAGAGATTACAAAGAAGTACGAAGAAGAAGAAAAAAAAACATGATTTCCTGTGCCCTTTTAACACAGTCAGAAATGAGAGTAGGTTCAATATCAAAACATTTGACTAGTTCAGCACAAATCCATTCCCCACCCTCACCCTACCAAGCCGGTATTCCTATGGGGGTCAATGACCGAGAAAATAAAACTTTCCCACTCCTCAGGTTTCTCATACACCCAAACATTCTGAGCGTTGACCCAGTGGCGGAACTAGAAAAAAAGGGCCACCCCGCAAAAAAATTTTTAGGCCCCCCCCATATATATATATATATATATATATATATATATATATATATATATATATATATATATATATATATATATATATATATATATATATATATATATATACATACATATAAATACGAACTTATGATACTCATTACTGGCCTGTTCGGGTTTTGAGACAAAAAATTATTTCAATTAAAACAAATTACAACATCATGTCATGTGTGTAAGTGCGTTAGTTATTGTGTTTTGTGAAAATTAGTTTTATTTTAACTCTTCTATAAGACCTCACTTTAGTCGGTATAAAGAATATAAAACATGAAATCTTTGTAAAAGTAATGGTGTCTCGTGTTATGTTTATTTTTTTTTTTTGTATTTATATTATTAATTTTAAATTCATTTCCTTTTTGTACAATATCATTCTTTAGTCAATACTTTATGATAAATAATAATTAAGAGAAGTAATTCCTTTTTAGTTTGTTTAGTACAAATCTATTAAAAGGAGCTTATGAGCACCCCTATTTGACTCTTTAAAAAAGGGAAGTAACTCATGGAAGTGGTTTGAATGTTTGCTAATCTTTGATACGTTTGATTGTAGGAGAAAGAGGACTCGGCTTTCACTGTGGTTTAAAAACAAAGGGAAAAAGAATATACATGAGCCTGGGGTGGTATAGAATAAATATAATTCAACCGCAGCTACGGTAATCTTTTTGCAAAACAACCATCGTCAAAAATGAAAGAAAATTAATTTTTTTAACTATAAAAAAAAATATTATGGTTGGCTGTGGGCCCTAAATGGCGTGCCCCCCCCCCCCCCCCGCATTGCGGGGTCTGGCGGTACTGTAGTTCCGCCCCTGCGTTGACCTTGTCCTCCCGACCGTTACTTCAATCTCCTAACTAGGTCGGGTATTACCTAGTGCCGTAGCTCCCCCCCCCCCCCCCCACCTTCCCCTCCCTGTCCTCGATTACCCAATAGAATTATAATCTTAATTATTCCCAACGCCCATTTAAAAATCGAACTTCAAAAGATAACATCGCTTCCTGTTTTTTTTTTCGTGAATAGACTTTAAAACATTATTTTTTTAATGTTACTGTTTCGTGTTACCTTTAACACCCCCCCCCCCCCCCCCAAACTCACAGCAAGCAGAAACATGGGTAAAACGTAGCTGTTACATTTGCTTGATAACCGATCTTGGAATTTTTGTATGAGTGTGGAAGGGTGGGGGGGGGGGATTTCCAAGAAATATTATACGTAATATGGAGTTGTCCCATGGCTGGATTTAGACTTGAATAGGCCCTAAGCTCTGTGATATATCGCGCCCCACCATGAGCCCATATGTTATCTGTTGCCGAAGTTCTTCTAACCTCTACAGAGTTTTCAATGGGGCAAATAATGGGGCAATCTTTTTAAGTAGATATTATGACAAGAGGTCATTAAAAAAAAGTGGAGGAACTTAGTTAGGTTGTTTAGCTATTCGAGGGGGGGGGGCAACAAAGTGGGGGCACTAAGTCATAGCTTGCTTTACTTATGGGGGGGGGACAAAGTGGGGGACATCAATTTATAGCTTGTCAAGCTTATACGTAAATCCGGTACTGAGTTGGTCGAACGAAATGTTTTTAACGTGTATTGGGTGTTGTGTAGGTAAACATTGGTCTATTTTTGTCGTGTGTGATATGCGATTCCCCTGGTCCTCACATTAAATTGCTTTAGTTCCAGATTTCACCAGGGACTTCCCCTTTTTGCGGGTTTTCTGAGTTCTAGCCTGTCAACGACATAAAAGGTGTCGTGCGTGTAGCAGTTGGGCCTACCTGGGGGAGAGAGGGCAGACAGGCAGTCCAGTGCTTTAGGCAATCAAGATGTAACAAGTTAATTCAATACAAGTTTATTGTGTGTGTGATAGCGTCTTCAGAGTGATTCAGAATGATATATTTACTACGCTTGTGTGGATTATGTATTAAAATTAATAAGTGTACTAAAAAGTGTTTGTAATTCACTTATACTTATTTCTACGATATGAGACATTTTTTACGAGACCACAATCAATTTTGAGTTCTGTATTTAAATGTTTTTATGACGTTCTAAAGCAATTAGTAATAAGATTTGATAATGATATTATTAGTTTAAAATATGTTTTAACGGATATAAAAGGCAAGTACCTAACGTCTTAAACAAGATTAATGCAGAAACAAACAAATACAAAAGTTGCCAGTTTAATTACAATAAAAAGTGACCAGATTTTCGTTTCATCTTGGAACCAAATACCCGTCAACTGATGTCAATGAAATAAAAACTTGATTGTGACTGAGATTTTCGTTTCTACTGATACACCTCGTGCTATGGCTACCAACGGAGACGACGATGAAGTGAAGACCAGACACGCCTCGTGTCAGGAGTGCCTGGTGCTCCTCACGGTCAGGAACCACGTCCACGACAGCATCAAGTCCATCGAACTGGCCCTGGTCGAGCTGAAGAACGCCCGGGACAAAGGCGTGTGCACGGCCAACTCTAGCCGGACCATGAACGTGGACGAGCTGGTCAAGCTACAGGGCAAGCTCGAGAAGAAAGTCCCGCGGATGTTTCAGTGGTTGATGGAGCACGTCAAGACTCACCCGCCCTGTTCTAGAACTCAAGGTAAGGATATGAGATCTCACCTAGTTAGTTCTAGAACTAAAGGTAAGGATATGATGTCACACCTAGTTAGTTCTAGAACGCAAGGATAAGACGTCACACCAACCCTGTTCTAGAACTCAAGGTAAGGATATGATGTCACACCTAGTTAGTTCTAGAACGCAAGGATAAGACGTCACACCAACCCTGTTCTAGAACTAGAGGTTAGGATATGACGTCACAACCACCCTGTTCTAGAACTCAAGGTAAGGATATGACGTCACATCCAACGTGTACCAGTCCTCAAGGTAAGACCATGACGTCTCACCTAATTAATTCTAGAACTCAAGGTAAGACCACAACGATTACTTTGCTTTATAACTCACGGTAAGAAGTCTTAAAATTTTAAAAAATCTTATGACAATGTGTCAATGCATGTATTTACACTACCAGCATTGAAGAGAATTGAAACAAAATGGACAGTCAAGATTACTCCTGTTTGAGACAACAGCCATTTTAAGAGTAAAGGGTTCGATCTGTCTGCATGTTACCTACCCGCCTTACCCCCGCCCCCCCCCCCACCCCTAAGAATTATACTAAGATATAAAAATAGTTTGCAATAAAATTAACACGGAATTTTCCGGATTTGCCCGAACGAGTGTGTTTCTGTTGGGGAATTCCCTTGTGTTAACGAGGAAGTAACACACTATGACGTTCTACACACACACAATTCTATTTTTGCCTGCGTCTTTTATTTACGTCCATTTACTACATCCATTACCTTTATCCATTAAGTACTCTCTCTTTAACTACATCAATTAACTACATTTATTAACTAATCAATTAGCCACGTATTTTAACTACACTCTTTAACTACATCAATTAACTACATTTATTAACTAATCAATATTTAACTACATCAATTAACTACATTTATTAACTAATCAATCTTCAACTACATCAATTAACTACATTGATTAACTAATCAATTAGCCACATATATTAACTACACTCTTTAACTACATCAATTAACTACATTTATTAACTAATCAATCTTTAACTACATCAATTAACTACATTTAGGCACATAAATTAACTACACTGTTTAACTAGATCAATTAAATGCATTTATTAACAAATCAATTAGCAACATCAATTAACTCCATTTATTAACTAATCAATATTTAACTACATCAATCAACTACATTTATTAACTAATCAATCTTTAACTACATCAATTAACTACATTTAGCCACATAAATTAACTACACTGTTTAACTAGATCAATTAAATGCATTTATTAACCAATCAATTAGCAACATCAATTAACTCCATTTATTAACTAATCAATCTTTAACTACATCAATTAACTACATTTAGCCACATAAATTAACTACACTGTTTAACTAGATCAATTAAATGCATTTATTAACCAATCAATTAGCAACATCAATTAACTCCATTTATTAACTAATCAATATTTAACTACATCAATCAACTACATTTATTAACTAACCAATATTTAAGTACATCAATTAACTACTTTTATTAACTAATCAACCACACATATTTACTACAGCCTTTAACTACACAATATAATAAACGGAACATATAACTACAATCATTAAATCGTTTTACAATTTGCAAATTTTTATCTGAGTATTTATACAACCAGGAGTACAAAGGTAATTAGTAACAAGATAAAAATACATACAGAAAACTAAAGTGAAAATATTTTTGGTATTTTAAACAACAGCGGCCGTGCATTTAAAACATTAGAACTTCTAAGTTAGCATTAAAAAATAAAGTTCATTGATTGGGTGGAAATGTTAGGTCACGTGTGAGTGGAAGCTCCACCTACTAGCTCACCTCTGGTTTAGAACCACTCTTTGAAGTTTGCTCTAAAGATGGGCAGCACCATTTGTTTAGAACCACTCTTTCGGGTTTGGTCTAAAGATGGGCAGCACCATTTATTTAGACCAATCTTTGGGGTTTGGTCTAGGCAGTGTTTCTTCCAGACTTTTTTCTCCGGGGGGGCACTTGAAATTTTCGGGGCGGCGGTAAACTTTCTTCGGGGGGCGGACACTGTTAAAAGTAAATATTTTCTATATAAATTATATAAATTTCATTTCGTTCGGGGGGGGGGGGGGCGATAAAAAAATTTGGGGGGGGGGGGGGGGGGGGGCTTCGCCCCCCCCCCCCCAAGAGATGCTTGGAAGAAACTCTGGGTCTAGGGATGGGCTGCCCCATTAGTTTAGATTAGTTTAGAACCATGAATAAACCTTTTTTTTTAATTTCCCAACAGCTGACAGCGGGTACTGTAACTCTGTGGAGGCGAGTCAGCTAACGGAGGCGATGGGCAAGCGTAAGTTTGGTTTCTGTGTGTTGGGTGTGGGGGTTTTGTGTTGGGGTGTGGGAGTTTTGTGTTGGGTGTGGGGGGTTTTGTGTTGGGTGTGGGAGTTTTGTGTTTGGTGTGGGGAGTTTTGTGTTGGGTGTGGGAGTGAGTTTTTTGTTGAGTGTGGGAGTGAGTTTTGTGTTGATTGTGGGAGTGAGTTTTGTGTTGATTGTGGGAGTGAGTTTTGTGTTGGGTGTGGGAGTTTTGTGTTGGATGTGGGAGTTTTGTGTTGATTGTGGGAGTGAGTTTTGTGTTGATTGTGGGAGTGAGTTTTGTGTTGGGTGTGGGGAGTTTTGTGTTGGATGTGGGAGTTTTGTGTTGGGTGTGGGAGTTTTGTGTTGGGTGTGGGAGTTTTGTGTTGGGTGTGGGGGTTTTGTGTTGGGTGTGGGAGAGAGTTTTGTGTTGGATGTGGGAGTTTTGTGTTGGGGTGTGGGGGTTTTGTGTTGGGGTGTGGAGTTTTGTGTTGATTGTGGGAGTGAGTTTTGTGTTGATTGTGGGAGTGAGTTTTGTGTTGGGTGTGGGAGTTTTGTGTTGGATGTGGGGGTTTTGTGTGGTTGTGGGGGTTTTGTGTTGGGGTGTGGGGGTTTTGTGTTGGGTATGGGGGTTTGTGTGGGATGTGGGAGGTTTTGTGTTGGGTGTGGGAGTTTTGTGTTGGGTGTGGGAGTTTTGTGGTTGGGGTGTGGGGAGTTTTGTGTGGGTGTGGGGGTTTTGTGTTGTGTGTTGGAGTTTTGTGTTGGGTGTGAGAGTGAGTTTTGTGTTGGGTGTTGGGTGTGGGGTGTGTGGGTAATTTTTGTGTGTGGGTGTGGGTGAGTTTTGTGTTGGGTGTGGGGAGTGAATTTTGTGTGAGTGTGGTTGAGTTTTGTGTTGGGTGTGGGGGTTTTGTGTTGGGGTGTGGGGGTTTTGTGTTGGGTGTGGGGGTTTTGTGTTGGGTGTGGGAGAGAGTTTTGTGTTGGGTGTGGGAGTTTTATGTTGGGTGTGGGAATTTTGTGTTGGGTGTGGGGGTTTTGTGTTGGGTGTGGGGGTTTTGTGTTGGGTGTGGGTTTTGTGTTGTTGGGTGTGGGAGAGAGTTTTGTGTTGGGTGTGGGGGTTTTGTGTTGGGTGTGGGCGTTTTGTGTTGATTGTGGGAGTGAGTTTTGTGTTGGGTGTGGGAGTTTTGTGTTGGGTGTGGGGGTTTTGTGTTGATTGTGGGAGTGAGTTTTGTGTTGGGTGTGGGAGTTTTGTGTTGGGTGTGGGAGTTTTGTGTTGGGTGTGGGAGTTTTGTGTTGGGTGTGGGGGTTTTGTGTTGGGTGTGGGAGTTTTGTGTTGGGTGTGGGGGTTTTGTGTTGTGTGTTGGAGTTTTGTGTTTGGTGTGGGGGTTTTGTGTTGGGTGTGGGGGTTTTGTGTTGGTTGTGTGAGTTTTGTGTTGGGTGTGGGAGTTTTGTGTTGGGTGTGGGAGTTTTGTGTTGGGTGTGGGGGTTTTGTGTTGGGTGTGGGGGTTTTGTGTTGGGTGTGGGAGTTTTGTGTTGGGTGTGGGGGTTTTGTGTTGGGTGTGGGAGTTTTGTGTTGGGTGTGGGGGTTTTGTGTTGGGTGTGGGAGTTTTGTGTTGGGTGTGGGAGAGAGTTTTGTGTTGGGTGTGGGAGTTTTGTGTTGGGTGTGGGAGTTTTGTGTTGGGTGTGGGAGTTTTGTGTTGGGTGTGGGGGTTTTGTGTTGGGTGTGGGAGTTTTGTGTTGGGTGTGGGAGTTTTGTGTTGGGTGTGGGGTTTTGTGTTGGGTGTGGGCGTTTTGTGTTGGGTGTGGGGGTTTTGTGTTGGGTGTGGGAGTTTTGTGTTTGGTGTGGGAGTTATGTGTTGGGTGTGGAGTGGGTTTATTGTTGATCTGTGGGAGTGAGTTTTGTGTTGATTGTGGGAGTGAGTTTTGTGTTGATTGTGGGAGTGAGTATTGTGTTGGGTGTGGGAGTTTTGTGTTGGATGTGGGAGTTTTGTGTTGATTGTGGGAGTGAGTTTTGTGTTGATTGTGGGAGTGAGTTTTGTGTTGGGTGTGGGAGTTTTGTGTTGGATGTGGGAGTTTTGTGTTGGGTGTGGGAGTTTTGTGTTGGGTGTGGGAGTTTTGTGTAGGGTGTGGGGGTTTTGTGTTGGGTGTGGGGAGAGAGGTTTTGTGTTGGATGTGGGAGTTTTGTGTTGGGTGTGGGGGTTTTGTGTTGGGTGTGGGAGTTTTGTGTTGATTGTGGGAGTGAGTTTTGTGTTGATTGTGGGAGTGAGTTTTGTGTTGGGTGTGGGAGTTTTGTGTTGGCTGTGGGGGTTTTGTGTTGGTTGTGGGGGTTTTGTGTTGGGTGTGGGGGTTTTGTGTTGGGTATGGGGGTTTTGTGTTGGATGTGGGAGTTTTGTGTTGGGTGTGGGAGTTTTGTGTTGGGTGTGGGAGTTTTGTGTTGGGTGTGGGAGTTTTGTGTTGGGTGTGGGGGTTTTGTGTTGTGTGTTGGAGTTTTGTGTTGGGTGTGAGAGTGAGTTTTGTGTTGGGTGTTTGGTGTTGGGTGTGTGGGTAATTTTTGTGTGTGGGTGTGGGTGAGTTTTGTGTTGGGTGTGGGAGTGAATTTTGTGTTGAGTGTGGTTGAGTTTTGTGTTGGGTGTGGGGGTTTTGTGTTGGGTGTGGGGGTTTTGTGTTGGGTGTGGGGGTTTTGTGTTGGGTGTGGAGAGAGTTTTGTGTTGGGTGTGGGAGTTTTATGTTGGGTGTGGGAATTTTGTGTTGGGTGTGGGGGTTTTGTGTTGGGTGTGGGGGTTTTGTGTTGGGTGTGGGGGTTTTGTGTTGTTGGGTGTGGGAGAGAGTTTTGTGTTGGGTGTGGGGGTTTTGTGTTGGGTGTGGGCGTTTTGTGTTGATTGTGGGAGTGAGTTTTGTGTTGGGTGTGGGAGTTTTGTGTTGGGTGTGGGGGTTTTGTGTTGATTGTGGGAGTGAGTTTTGTGTTGGGTGTGGGAGTTTTGTGTTGGTGTGGGAGTTTTGTGTTGGGTGTGGGAGTTTTGTGTGGGTGTGGGGGTTTGTGTTGGGTGTGGGAGTTTTGTGTTGGGTGTGGGGGTTTTGTGTTGTGTGTTGGAGTTTTGTGTTTGGTGTGGGGGTTTTGTGTTGGGTGTGGGGGTTTTGTGTTGGTTGTGTGAGTTTTGTGTTGGGTGTGGGAGTTTTGTGTTGGGTGTGGGAGTTTTGTGTTGGGTGTGGGGGTTTTGTGTTGGGTGTGGGGGTTTTGTGTTGGGTGTGGGAGTTTTGTGTTGGTGTGGGGGTTTTGTGTTGGGTGTGGGAGTTTTGTGTTGGGTGTGGGGGTTTTGTGTTGGGTGTGGGAGTTTTGTGTTGGGTGTGGGAGAGAGTTTTGTGTTGGGTGTGGGAGTTTTGTGTTGGGTGTGGGAGTTTTGTGTTGGGTGTGGGAGTTTTGTGTTGGGTGTGGGGGTTTTGTGTTGGGTGTGGGAGTTTTGTGTTGGGTGTGGGAGTTTTGTGTTGGGTGTGGGGGTTTTGTGTTGGGTGTGGGAGTTTTGTGTTGGGTGTGGGGGTTTTGTGTTGGGTGTGGGAGTTTTGTGTTGGGTGTGGGAGAGAGTTTTGTGTTGGGTGTGGGAGTTTTGTGTTGGGTGTGGGAGTTTTGTGTTGGGTGTGGGAGTTTGTGTTGGGTGTGGGAGTTTTGTGTTGGGTGTGGGAGAGAGTTTTGTGTTGGGTGTGGGGGTTTTGTGTTGGGTGTGGGAGAGAGTTTTGTGTTGGATGTGGGAGTTTTGTGTTGGGTGTGGGAGAGAGTTTTGTGTTGGGTGTGGGGGTTTTGTGTTGGGTGTGGGAGTTTTGTGTTGGGTGTGGGAGAAAGTTTTGTGTTGGGTGTGGGGGTTTTGTGTTGGGTGTGGGAATTTTGTGTTGGGTGTGGGAGTGAGTTTTGTGTTGGGTGTGGGAGTTTTGTGTTGGGTGTGGGCGTTTTGTGTTGATTGTGGGAGTGAGTTTTGTGTTGGGTGTGGGAGTTTTGTGTTGGGTGTGGGGGTTTTGTGTTGGGTGTGGGGGTTTTGTGTTGGGTGTAGGAGTTTTGTGTTGATTGTGGGAGTGAGTTTTGTGTTGGGTGTGGGAGTTTTGTGTTGGATGTTGGGTGTTGAGTGTGGGAGTGAGTTTTGTGTTGGGTGTGGGAGTGAGTTTTGTTTTGGTTGTGTGAGTGAGTTTTGTGTTGGGTGTGTGAGTTTTGTGTTGGGTGTGGGAGTGAGTATTTGTTGGCTATTGTCTGTGTCTGTTGTAAGACTGATTGTCTTTGTTGTTAACCTGTGTGTTTGTTCTATAGTAATTTGGCATTCATAAGTTTGTTTATTATGTTTTTATTATTTACTTCTATGTGTTTTCTGTATGTTTTTTATACGCGTAGTTTTAGCATTTATTGATTAGATATAGCGCTTAGTTAACTTGTGATAGCAAGGTTATAAACGTTGCTAACTCTATCTTTCAAGATTGATAAAAAACTAAAAAAAAAAAAATAACAATTTATTGAGTATTTTTTGTCTGCTCAAAGTTTTAAGATCGCACGCAAATGATTTCACCTTTTTGGCCGATTGTTACCCATAAGCCCTCCCTCATTCTCTTGACACAAAAACAAAAACAGATCCCTACTTTTATGACGTAACACCCCACCCCACGCACACACACTCGAGCAATCCGTACGATAAAGATTGGCTTGAACTGCCGTTTTAAATAACTTCCTCCCTCCCCCCCCCCCCCTCTAGTGACTCGAGTTTGAACACCTAAGAGGCCATTTGTAAATTACGTCATATTTGGAAAGGGGATTTTGGACTATGACACGCTGGAAAAGGGTTAACAAGAAAGAAAGAACTTTTTAAAAAGTAATTCTTTTAATGAATTCAAATGATTATTTCGCAGTTTTAGATTTTTGGTACAGTAAATTGTAATAAAAAAGCGATCGATATACCTTATTTTGACCGAGCTTTAGTTATATTATTGGTTGAAAGATTACTATGCAAATACTATTTTAAAAAAAATAATTGAAATATTGTTTTTGATTATTTTCAGTTGGTGTTTCCGAATTACAACAGGTCAGTTGCTAATTTTTTTACATACTATATTTAAAGACCACCTTTACTCCTGATTCTTTTGCGGCAACCATTGTTTTACGTAATCTTTAGTAGCAACACATTTTTTATTCTTTATCCTAATGATGGTAGGGCAAACATTGTAGATTACATTCACGACTTCAGCCGAATTCAGATGCATCAAAATGTAATTCCCATCTTACCCACCAAGTTCAAAGATTTTACAAGACCACATGAGACCAGTGTTTCTTTCAGGCATCTCTTCGGAGGTGCCCATTCCCCCATGAAGTAGAATTTATATTGTAAACATATACTTTTACCAGTGTCCGCCTTCCCCTACCGGAGAATTTAGTCCGCCTCCACCCCCACTAGGAAATTTTTAAGTCCCCCCCCCCCCCCATCACCGCAGGAAAAGAAACACTGCAAAAGACAGATCACAAAGGTTAAAAAACATGTGTACGTTAAGATTTTAATTGCGCCATCTAAAAAAGTCTTCTCACAAAAAAAAAAACAATATAGAATACGTTTGGTGTACCATCAACTGTAACATCAGCATCATCTTCACAACAGCTTCACACCAACTTCACACCAACTTCACAACAGCTTCACAACATCGCTACAACAGATTCCCACCAACTTCACAACAGCTTCACAACATCTCCACACCAATAGATCAATTTACCTATTGGGTCAGGCTTGTTTTTTTTGAAAAAAAAAAGTAATGTGATAGGGGGAAGTGGATTGGAAAGCCAACATATACAATATAGAGTTTAATATGTCGCTTTGTGTTATCCTTTCTGCTATCTGCTAGATAACTTATTTATATTAATAAATATAAACTTTTGAACGTCTATATTCCACTGATGGTTTAAGATACAAATCAGTGATGTTATATGAAATAGAATTTTTAAAAACTGAAATGCAGTCATGAAACAATCCCCATTAAACATGAAGCTAAGAAATAAAATAAAAGCTGACATCAACCGTGACCAGTGTAAATTTCATTTAACTTCCCTCATGTTTTTATTAACGATTTGCGTGTCACTATATATATATATATATATATATATATATATATATATATATATATATATATATATATATATATATATATATATATATATATATATATACATACGTGTGTGCGTGCGTATTCCATTTGGTTTTATCTCTTCCTGTTTATGAAATGGCAAACACGTTAACTGCGCATTATAATATAAACATATCTTTGTTTCTGTAGTATATAATCTTTTTCATATATATATATATATATATATATATATATATATATATATATATATATATATATATATATATATATATTCCATCAGTTATTTCTTCCTGTTTATGAAATAGCGAACAGATAAATTGCTTTTTAATTGCGCATATTTTTTTGTTCCTGCTGTATAAAATCTAGCGATAAGCTCGGGTTACATGGCAGTAAAATTATCAAGGGAAGTAACACTCTAGAAGACTTGGAAAATATTTCTTTTCTATTTTGCTTACTTGGCTTTTATTCACGGCCTAATTGTTTCATGGAATTTTTTTACTATTATTTAAGTATACCTTGGGTAGAAGGGAGTTGATGTTTGTTCCAATGTAAAGTAAATTGTTATGGTATAGCTTTTATACGCACAGAACTATTTTAGTAACTTATTTAAACATTAAAAATTCTAGAATGAATTTACAATTTGCCTTTTCCGACAAATACAGCCCGTTTACCAGTACCTTCTTTATTTCACTCCCTAATGAAAAGAGAGGCATCTGACACTGATACATAGATATTGACGGTTAGGCTAAATTTCAATCTTAGGCTAGTGTAATATGTAAACCGGTGAAAATAGGCCGACAACTTCCGTTACGCTTGAGTGACTTCAGCTGGTAAAAACAAGCTCTGACGTCAAACGCCTGAATTTTTAAAAATTAACCAATCCCAGGTGTAGGGCAGAGAGGAAGGGAATTCTATTAATAGATCAGAGTGTAATATACAAGACTTATATACGCAATAAAAACACACGGGTGACCTTCATGTATCGTCGGCTTCAAGCCAAGCTGATTCAACAAACGGATAAAGCCCATTGGCTTACATTCTGTTGGTTGGTTGTTATTGTACCCGGCTGTCCCGGAAACTTTATCCGGATGACTAGACAGGTGAACACTTCCACAGTACCACCAGGTCAGCGGTTGATGGGGCAGGTGAAACAGAGTTCACGAGCTTCTGTGTCAACGTCACCTCACATTGTAAACTTATGTAACCAGCAGAGAGGTATAACAGGCCGACGCCAACATCATCCCTGACCACACCCACGCTACCCACATCTCCATCACACTGTACACCCACCACCCATCCCACCCCATCCTCTCCAATCCACGCCACGCACACATTTACCCAGTAGCGTAGCGGGGGGGGGGGGACATATGTCCCCGGGCGCCGACCTTAGGGGGCGCAAAAATGGGTTGGAAAAATAAACTGAAAGGTTGAGGGGGGTGCAAATCGAAAGTATGAAGGAGGGTGCAAATCAAAATCTTGAGGGGGGGGGGGTGCAAATCGAAAAGTTTGTCCCCGGGCGCCGGAATGGGTCGCTACGCCTCTGCATTTACCCCCCCCCCCCCCCCCCGCCCATAAAAAATCTGTGTATTATAATACTGTTACATCTTTGTCTTTCAGTTTACTTACCCTATCTAAGTCTAAAAAATTTTATAAAACGAAACAATAGTATAGTGAGGTCATTTTAAAATGATGGTGTGGTATGGTATGGTGAGATCACTTTGAAAATGATGGTGTGGTAAGGTATGGCGAGGACACTTTAAAAATGATGGTGTGGTAAGGTATGATGAGGTCACTTTAAGAATCATGTTTATGGTATGAGGTCACTTTAAAAACGATGGTGTGGTATGGTGAGGTCACAGGGCGGTTTACTATGCTATATATTATTCTTTATTCGTGTTATCTATGAAAATGTATTTCTCTATTTCAGCTTCCTGGCGAGTCAATACCCGAACACCAGGGGCTGATTATCATACACGATCAGCGGACTCCTGACGCCGAGTGCTAGCACTTATGACTCCTAAAGTGGCTGACTCGATGATGACTCCTAAAGTTGCGGACACAATGTTGACTCCTAAAGAGGCTGACTTGATGACTCATAAAGAGGGTAAACTAGCTGGTGTCTAGTAAACTGCCGACTGGCTAATGTCTGGCACACGAGAAATTCCCGAAGCATAAGTTACAAAACCTGGCACCAAATGAAGCAAACCACGGATTAGCTGGCAAATTTTTTAAAATCTGACTACAAAAGTAGTCAGCAACTTGGGCGTAGTGAGGTTTGAACCTAACCGCCAGCACAATGATCACAGCGACTATCCAGCTCACACTGACCATGTATGATTCTTAAAAGAATTAAATGATGAGAGAGACTTGAAAAGGAAATGGTATTATTCACACGTTATAGTAGTCTTAAAACAAAAGCAAATCGTGTATCACTCCGTGTTTTAACTCTGAACCCCACCAATAGTGTCATAGTTTCCATAACTACTGTTTGGTGTATTTCGCAGGGGTCCCTATAAAATGGGCGATTTCTTGTAATGTGAGGACCACTATGCAATCCCTTTCTTTGACTGATATTTTTAATCTGCACTTGATCATTTTTTCAACTTAAATCAATCATTAATACATTCATTCATAATTTTAGTAAATTATGCTATTTTAGCTTTTGTGTCACTCCTGAAAGTGTCACCCCAATACTGTGTCACTCTCTAAATGGTGTCACCCGCTTAGATCTTTAGAAAATCACGGATATTTTTGTTACAACAAGGGACGTAACAAGACAAATACTCAAATCATCAAGGATCACGTGCTTATCTCCCTTTTTGTCAAGCCCGAATAGTGCACAACCTCGATGCTACTCTCAATTTCCTTTAAAGTTTAAACCGTTATGGTTCGCAGATTCGATAACCCAATAGTGATACTCTGTTCTACACTCATTGCAATACAAGTAAAAATTGTGTTGTTGCAAGTAGCAAAAAGCATTTTTTGTATGACTGGGTTCATGGCGCAAACTAAAGGCAAATACGAACCACATTATTGGTGATTTTACAGTCTTTTATTGATATCAGATAATATAGCAGCTACACTACTAGAACCACGACTTCAGTTTCGTCATCTCCTCGCGCTCTCTCTACCTCTCTCTGCTTCCTTTCCTTAGCGCATGCGCACACCCATCCTATATTTTATATTCATATCGCCTTTTTAAGATACACACTCAAAACATACATTCATCTACATTTAACTGTTACAATTTATATATAGGAGCCTCAAAACTCATTACTGATTAATTATAACATATAAAGAACATAAAAGAACATAAGTAATGATGTTCTTAATATTACGATGTGTGCACATACCTAGCTCACATGCATGTTAATTTTTGGCAAGCAGTGTACGATCTGGTGTATGTACATACCTTAATATACTCGTAAAAAATTTAAGTAGATGTAAAAATTAAACCAGGAGTGATCTCCCCTAAACGTTCTCAAATATTCTTATATATCACTACGGGGGATGGGAACTCGGGATATAGACATGATTTTTTATATATTTTTAATTACTTAAACTTTTTACAAATAGAATAGAATCTCGTAGGAAAAATATTGCGCACCAAATGAACGCCAAACAATATGTGTATAATAGTGCGGAATATTATTAGTCAAATCTTTAAAGTGAAATCTGTATGTATGTGACCAAAGATTACAAAATAAGAAAAAAAAAGACTTCTGTGTCGTCATAGTGTTGTGCGTCAAAGTGATTATCGTCTAAATTAATGATTTAAAAAATTAACATTGAAGGTGTTGTAATACAATTTTTCATTTTTCAAACTTATTATGATAATTGCCGGCATGTCCATTAAACAACATTTTTTAAAAATGTATCGACATTCAAAAAAATTCTAATTGTGTCTGAAAATTATTTACATTTAGTTCTTTAGCACACCTTACGTCCCTTGATAAATTAGGTAAACACAAGTACTCTCCTTTATAAAACATTACATCAGGGGGAGGGGGAAATGAACTTTTTATTATTTTGTTTTGGTGTTGGGAATTAAATAATTACATAATTAGCGTAGGTTGATCAAGTGCAATGTTGTAGGTATTTTAAATACTGCCTTATATTTATTGTATACACTGAACGTACTATTTACTAATATATTTTTTAAAATCAATAACAGTTAAGAAGCCATCTCCTAAACGTCCATTATGTTTACTTATTTTAGTTTGTGATAAGCTTGGAGTATTATAACTGTTCACTAAATTGAAAATGGCGCGTCCGCAGGCGCCCAGGCACGGTTCGATTTGGCACACTGGGCTATCATGTGAACGCTATGGTTCATAATTTCGTTTTAAACAGTGCGATAGACTATGGAAAGGTAACCCAACACCCCGACAAGGGGGTTTTGGCGCCCTGGGTCTTCCCGTGTTCGCAAATGACTATGAATAAGTTGGGGTACTAAATTCGTTTACTAAGCTGAAACAGGCGGTTCCGCCGGCGCCCTAGCATGTTGCGATTCGGCGCCTCGGGCTAGACTATGAGCACTTTGCGTTTATGTTTGCGTTTGTATTTTCTTTGTGTTTGGGTTGGGTTTGCGTTTGGTTTGTTTTTGTTTGCTTTTTTCTTTGCGTTTGCGTTTGTGTTTTCTTTGTGTTTGCGTTTGTGGTTGTGTTTTTCTTTACGTTTGTGTTTGTGTTTGCGTTTGCGTTTTTTGTGTTTTGGTTGGTTGTGGTTAGGATGGGCAATGCCGGGTATATGTTGATTAATAAACACACATGGCATGGTCCTTTACAGATAGTTTTTTCAGACGGCTAGTACTTTATAAATTCACATGAGTTTTTTGAGAAATTGGAAATAGCGTAAATTAATACTTCCGGTCAAATGGAAATTACTCAATATTCGACCGTTGGTAGAGAATTAGATCTTTTACTTACTTGTGAAATTTCATTACCTGAAACTACTCAAGTTATAGACTTTTGAAAACTTTGAAAGTAGAATAAGTTCACTTCCGGTTACCGGAAATCACTGAAAAGGTTGACACAGAACTACAAATTTGATATTATACTTATATATGAAATTTCATCAACCTAGATTTGACGGTACTCACTTTGTCGTGTTCACAGACATACATACACACACACGCATATATATATATATATATATATATATATATATATATATATATATATATATATATATATATATATATATATATATATATATATATATATACAGACATACGGACAAAATTGCAAAACTATGTTGTTTTTCAGACTCAGTGATGAGTTAAACGTCGAGATTTGTAAAAAAAATACCCTTTTTTATTAAAATGTCTTTTTAACGATTACAATACTTCCTCTATACTTCGTATACGAGAAAGTAAAAAGTTTTCTAATTAAAAGGAGACAGCTGGAATAACTAATGGGTTTTCTCTCGTTCGATTTGAATAATTATCTCCCTTTAGTATTAGCTCATTTTATATTTCTTTTACCTTAACATTTGTGAATGTTGTAGTATTAAAACTTCTTTCAATGAAAATGATTTGTAAATATTTAAATAATTGTAAATAAAATAAACTATATACTACTTATAGTGAGAAGTTAGTATATATATTTATTTAATTTTTGTTTTGTTTTTCTGTACAGTTAGATGTGAGCATTTCAACTATGTATAGAACTGTAAAATACGTATTTATGTAGATAATAATAATGTTTTTTTTCCCAAACTGTTAAACACAAATTTATTTAAGCAAGTTAATTAATTTATTGATACATTCAATGGTAGAAACGCCACTTAAATTATAAAAGTTCAGAACAATAGTGACTTCACTTGATTCATTTACTTATTTTCACAACTAACATGGCGGCTTCCATGAAAGATCATGTTGCGCATTATAAAGCTAAATTTTCTGTCGTTATAGCTTTTAATTTTTTTTTATTCCAAATCTATTAAAAATGTTCAATCAGATACGCTGGGCAGTTATTCTAATTTGAGTCTACAATAAATGTATCTAGATATTGTAGAATCTATATTTATCAATAGGCCAATCCAAAATTAATTAGTTATAAACAAATAAGGTAAAAAAACACAATAAATAATTTATTTATTTGTTAAACTATTTTAGTCCTTAAATATTTTATATGAATCTTTGCTTTTTAGTTTCACAAATCATCTAATTCGGGGTTACAAGGAATTTAACTAGAGCTACGAACAATGTTCCCTCTAAGGGGAAAAATATCGTGTGCAACGTGCATTTTGTGTGCGCGGTGTTCTGATAGTCTTATGTAAGGATACATGAATTTTACAAAATGACTGCACGGTAGTTAAAAACTTAATGGGAATATATGCTACAGATAAAGTAGAGTCAGACTTAGATTCTAGATCTAGGGTAGATCTGGATTTCTAGATATAGATTAGATTCTAGCTCTATCTAGATTTCTATACCAAACTATTTCAGGCCTTAGTTATTTTACATAAATCATTGTTTGTATAGAGATGGAGTTGTCTAAATTAGGATATAATTAAATATTAAATAATATTCGCGTAATTTAACTTTATTATACGCTGACTCTATGTAAAGTAAGCTACTAGAGATGATAGTATAATAGTTACCTTGCGGGTGGTACCGGTTCGAGACACATCATGGAAGTGTTGTGTTTTTTTGTTTTGTTTTTTATTTTTAATACACAGTGAAAGATCACAACACATTCGATTGGTTCTAGTTCATAATTATTACTTTGTCGTTAGTTTTAATTATTTATTCATTTATTATTCGATTTTACATCAAGGGTAGGCATTACGTTTACATGAATCAAGAGACTTGAAGCTTAACACCAATACTGACACATGAAGCTACACATCAATACTACACATGAATCTACACAACAATACTGACACACGAAGCTATCCACCAATACTGACACATGAATCTACACAACAATACTGACACACGAAGCTATCCACCAATACTGACACATGAATCTACACAACAATACTGACACACGAAGCTATCCACCAATACTGACACATGAATCTACACAACAATACTGACACACGAAGCTATCCACCAATACTGACACGTGAATCTACACACCGATACTGACACATGAAGCTACACGTTACTATTGACACATGAAGCTACACATACTGACACATGAAGCTACACGTCAGTTCTGACACATGAAGCTACACACCAATGAGACAAGTTAATCTATACACAAATTGACAATCGAAAATACACGCAAATAAGATACATGAATCTACACACCAATACTGACACATGAATCTACACACCGATACTGACACAAGAAGCTACTTAGAGTTAAGCCAAGGTTATCAACGAAATTTTATGTTTGAAAATAACTAGACTGTTGGTAATGAAAATGTTTTAAACATTCTCTCTATTAAGTGCTTTTATAAATTTTATTTCTATAATCTCTTAATCTAAAATTTCAGTAAAATTAATGCGAAAGAGATGAAACTGACAGAAGGTTATTGTTGTTAAATATCATCCATAACAACACATTACCCCAATACACTGGCTGTTATAATTGGACGAAGTTTGATGTTTTCCTCCATTCTTCGACGTTGTTTGTGTCGTTAATCTCTAGCTTTTATAAAGTCTTTTGTCCCTTTCACGTAGCTTCCGTTTTAGAATTGTTGTTTTATAAATTTCCATTTGAAATCCTTGGGTTTTATTCTGTGAAGTTTTAAAAAATAGTAGCCGAGTTGTGGTCAAAGTTTGACAGTTGAACACGTGACCTCTTCAAACCACGCCGTTGGCTGAAGATTTTGTTTTGTTCCTGTCAGTGTGAATTGTGGGTCAACCTGATAACGATGGGGGATTGTGGGTAATTGTGATAACGAAAGTTGGAAGTAAACAAAGACTGATCGCTTGTGGAAGTTTGAGCAACTTAAGGGAGCGAGGAGCTGTGTTTGGGGCGGGGGAGGTGTGGGGCGGGGGAGCTGTGTTTTTGGCTGGGGAGCTGTGTTTGGGGCGGGGGAGCTGTGTTTGGGGCGGGGGAGCTGTGTTTTGGGGCGGGGAGCTGTGTTTGTGGCGGGGGAGGTGTGTTTGGGGCGGGGGAGGTGTGTTTTTGGCTGGGGAGCTGTGTTTGGGGCGGGGGAGCTGTGCTTTGGGGCGGGGGAGCTGTGTTTGGGGCGGGGGAGCTGTGTTTGGGGCGGGGGAGCTGTTTGGGGTGAGTGAGCTGTTGGACGGGGTAGCAATGTTTGGGGTGGGGGGGGCTGTGTTTGCTCCAGCGCCGTGTGTTATGCCGGGGGTGATTAATTAGTCACTTGCCTCTTGTTTGATACGCTACACAGACGCCGATAGCGGTTCAAAAGTTAAATATATTACAGTGTTTGTGTGTTCTAGTGTAAAAATAACTCGGTTGCCTGATAAAAGCTTTTTTGAGTGAAGCCAAACTTTGAAAATCTTCCATGAATCGGTTTTCATTTATCCCACACAGGTTTCCATTTACGCACGCACGCACGCACGCACACACACACACACACACACACACCCAAACACACATTTATATACACTTCATTTTTAAAAGCTATCGTCTTAATATGGCCCATATTGTCTCCCGACCCTTTCCCATAGAAATACTAGATATAATTATATAAGCTGTTCTGTTTGTTTGGTTTTTTTATTACCATTTGCGACGAAAGTATATCACAATTAAATAAAGTGAGAAAAAAAAACAACATATAAAAGCAAATAACCAAGTGTTAAGTAATCAACATGAATTTTATCCTTCAAACCGCATACGACAATATTTACAAATCATTTTTAAATAGATATATCACTGAAAACCCAATGAAAGACAACAACGATTAGTGTTAATTAAAAGTTTAAGTTCGTCAATAACGTTCATCTGAATGTGCAGAAGAGGGTTCAATTTCTGGAGACACCGCCGTCAAAGAGTCCCATGCACGCAGCGTGGTGCCTGGCTCGCAGACGTAGATTCTCGATGCTTGAGTTGAGTATGGCTTCCTTCCCCGTGCCCACGGGGGCGGACAGGCGTGGGTCCTGCCTGAGGGGGTACCTCATTAGAATGTCATGGAGCTGGGAGGCGGAGTAATACGTCGACCACGTGGCGAATGGCGGCATGTGCGCCGGAAGTGCGCCGGCCAGGATCGAGCTCGAGGTCGGCACCGACATGGCGGACGACAGCGATGACGTCATCGGGATCTGTGGTGACGTCAGAGAAGGCGGGCTCAAGCTGCTGATGTGTGGGGGGAGGCTGGGGGAGGGGAGGTTGGGGGAGATGGAACAAGGGAGACGGTTGGGTGACTCCCTCTGTTTGTGGGGTCCCGGGCCTAGGTCTTGGTGCCCGAGAAACCTGAGGGGCTGGGACAGACCGGAAGTCACGTGGTACGGGTGGTAGGCGTCGGCTAACGAGAACCGGAACTCGGGAGCTGGAATAACAAATTAAACATGGCGTTAATTCAATGTCAAAAGTAAAAAGAAAAATCAAAGTAAAGCAAAATGATGTAGTCAAGTGGTGTGTGATAATAACGGTGTTTTATATTGTTAAAGTAAATAACAATATTGTCATCCCCTTCCATATACGAGAAGTGAAGAGACCCACTTTACCCACGCCAATGATGTGAAGTAGATCTAGTATTAATGAAAACACTTCTTTGCGAAAATGGCGAAATAATTCAGTTAGGATATTCGCGGGGGGGGGGGGGGGGGTAATGCTGCAGATGAGCGCAGAATTATTTTTTGAAGTGTAAATTTACTATTACATAGGCCTAATTGTTTTTTTTTTTATAAATAAAATTTACATTACTACATGAAAAATATTTCCTCTAAAAAGAATCGTATGTGTAAGATTTATTTGATGCGCGCGTGTTCTGATAAGGCTCATGCAAGGTTATGTTTATATTAGAAAAACCCATCGACTTAGACTTGAAACTACTCGGGCTCTAGGCCAGAAAGCTTAAAGGGAAGATTGTACGTGACTGTGATAAGTGACAGCAGGTGAAAGATTGTGTAACCGTAGGTGAAAGATTGTATGTGACTGTTAAGTGACCGTAGGTGAAAGATTGTGTGTGACTGTGTTAAGTGACCGCAGGTGAAAGAATGTATTGACGCACCTGTAACGTGAGTACTGAACTGTGGCTTGCTATCTGGGAGCTGGCTCAGCTTGCTGGCACCGGAAGTGTTGATTGGTTTACTCTCCGCCTCTGTGACCCTGACCTTAACGTCGTCACTACTCACACTTCGTACACCTGCTCAACAAAATTAAATCATCACTAATCAAGTAATTACAGTGTAATCATCGTTAATTAGATATGTACTGTTATTGGTCACACGACATTTACAAATAGAACTATGTATTAAGTAAGTCAGCTACTGTTCGCAACGATGAGTACATTTAACTTTAACTAAGATTAGTACAATAGGGCTGGTAAGTAAGTCACCAACCAGTTATACAGCTCAATAAAAACTGCATTAGCCATCTAACTGATTGGTGACCTACTTACCAGCCCTATTGTGTCGTTAAAATAAAGTAATATATTATCTATTGTTAAAGTAGTTTTATCGCCTTTGTTCTCCGCCTTACCTGAATCTGTGGGTCGAGCAGGCTGTCTTTCATCGACCGTCCCACGACCGTCATCTTTATCCCTGATGGTCGCCGCGTGACCGTCGTCACTGAGTGACGTCACATCCGGACACTCGTCGTCCACGTCGGGACATTCCGTGTCGATGTCGTCATCATCGTCGCTGTGGGAGTGTGAGCTGCCGCGGCACGAGTCGTCGACGCTGACGTCATCCGACACACAGATCTCTCCGGACTGGCCGTCTGGCTGGGCGCCGGACGTGGTGCCGGTTGTGACGTCATCTTGAGATTTGGGTCTGACGCCACGTTGCTTCTTGCGGTATTTGGCGCGTCGGTTTTTGAACCAAACCTGAGATAGATAAATGTTCACATTACAAGAAATAGAGCAAATGCGTAATACAAAGGCTAACTTGTTAACACATTGTTCTCGCTAGCAAAAAAAAAAGCATTATTTCGAATAATTTTCTTCAGCCATATTTAATCCGAAGGTGGTTGAGGGGGAAGGGGACGGGAAGGAAGGGGTGGGGAGAAATACAAATAACATGTTTATAGGATAAAAGGCTCCTGGTAGTAGCCAAGTTAGCTCTAAGGGAGGGGGTAGGGGGTGGGGAGCGAACACTGCCAAAAGTATATAATTTCCAACCATCCCAACCCTCTTTGATGCCCCCCCCCCCCCCCCCCCCCCCACGAATCAAGTAAATGAAAGCTGGCTAGTCAAAAATTTGAAAGCTACAGATCATAAACTGCACCAACCTGTATTCTGGCCTCTGGTAGGTTGGTGATCATGGCCAGCCTCTCGCGCATGACAACATCCGGGTAGTGGGTCTTGGAGAAAGTTTTCTCCAGCGCCCCCAGCTGCTGGTTGGTGAAAGCTGTACGGCTGCGGCGCTGTTTGCGGTGAGAGCCGTAACGGGCATCAAACAGCAGCTCTAGAGAGCAGGAAAGTTATATGGAATTTAATTTTCTAACACCTTAGTGCATAACAATTGTATAGATCAAAGAACAGCTCTAGGATAGAAATGTTGCATAGAATTTAATTCACTAACATTTTGTTCACTTGCAGCTGTCCTGATTAAAAATTGACTCTACAGGTCAAAAGATTGTTATTTAATTCAATACAGGAATGTATTTTTATAAAACAGTTGTTAATGTAACTTCAAACATTTAAACTTTATAAGAGAATATTATTTTAAAAGACTTTTGTATAATCACTAAGTTAGTAAATTACTTTATTCTTTTAATTAAAAATATTGTTAATGCAATGCTCAATATAGTTTAAAATCCAACATCAATATTTAGCTGTGTAGCATAAATGCTACATTATGAAATGCCGTGTCTAAAATAAAATGTTTTAGTTAGAGAACGGTGTCAGAGTACAGTGAGTAAATCTGAGTAGATAGGTTGACCAGGAGAGGTGAGACTTAGGTCAGGGGAGGTGAGACTCGGGTCAGGAGAGGTGACACGGGTCAGGAGAGGTGAGACTTAGGGCAGGAGAGGTGAGACTTAGGGCAGGAGAGGTGAGACTTAGGGCAGGAGAGGTGAGACTTAGGTCAGGAGAGGTGAGACAGGTCAGGAGAGGTGAGACTTAGGTCAGGAGAGGTGACACGGGTCAGGAGATGTGAGACTCATGTCAGGAGAGGTGAGACTAAGGTCAGGAGAGGTGAGACTAAGGTCAGGAGAGGTGAGACAGGTCAGGAGAGGTGAGACTCATGTCAGGAGAGGTGAGACTAAGGTCAGGAGAGGTGAGACTAAGGTCAGGAGAGGTGAGACAGGTCAGGAGAGGTGAGACTCATGTCAGGAGAGGTGACACGGGTCAGGAGAGGTGAGACTCATGTCAGGAGAGGTGAGACTAAGGTCAGGAGAGGTGAGACTAAGGTCAGGAGAGGTGACACGGGTCAGGAGAGGTGAGACTTAGGGCAGGAGAGGTGAGACAGGTCAGGAGAGGTGAGACTTAGGTCAGGAGAGGTGAGACAGGTCAGGAGAGGTGAGACTCATGTCAGGAGAGGTGACACGGGTCAGGAGAGGTGAGACTCATGTCAGGAGACGTGAGACTAAGGTCAGGAGAGGTGAGACTAAGGTCAGGAGAGGTGAGACCGGTCAGGAGAGGTGAGACTCATGTCAGGAGAGGTGAGACATGTCAGGAGAGGTGAGACAGGTCAGGAGAGGTGAGACAGGTCAGGAGAGGTGAGACAGGTCAGGACAACCTACCTGGGTACTGTCCGAAGAAAAATGGCGATGCCAGGTGAAGAGGGTGTGTTGGGGGAGGGAGTCCAAAAAATGGATTGGGTGGCTGGAACTGTAGTCCGAAGGTGCCAAAACTCTGCATTCTGGGGAGACAGAAGTCAACATTTGGTTTAGTTAGGGAGATGGAAGTCAACATTTGGGTTTAGTTGGGGAGACAGAAGTCAACATTTGGGTTTAGTTGGGGGGATGGTAGTCAATATTTGGGTTTAGTTGGGGGGGGGGATGGAAGTCAACATTTGGGCTTAGTTGGGGAGATAGAAGTCAACATTTGGGTTTAGTTGGGGAGATGGAAGTCATCATTTGGGTTTAGTTGGGGAGATGGAAGTCAACATTTGGGTTTAGTTGGGGAGATGGAAGTCAACATTTGGGTTAAGTGGGGAGATGGAAGTCAACATTTGGGTTTAGTTGGGGAGATGGAAGTCAACATTTGGGTTTAGTTGGGGAGATAGAAGTTAACATTTGGGTTTAGTTGGGGAGATGGAAGTCAACATTTGGGTTAAGGGAAGTTCCTGATGGAAATGTCAACTTTCAAGTTGAATGTAATGCAATAAATGTAATTAGTCCTATGAAACCCCTTTTCAAATCTTACACTCCAGGAGGCAGGTGAAATAACGTTCACCTGTTTTGGTGACCTCGGCAAATGAAAATGGGTGGTCAGCACTATGCCTAGATGCCTTTACTTTCCCTAACGTGAGTCAGGTACTCAACAGAGCTGGGTAGACTCAGGGACGTCCCTCGAACTACTGCTCGGGACTTGTTGGGTTAGCAGTCGAATGCTCTACCATTTGCTGTATACATTCATCACTTAATTTTTTTTAAAATCATTTTTTATTTTTATTTTTGCTCAATTTTCTTAAAACTGGGAATTAATCATTTTGACATTTATAACCTTTACTATAAAGCAATTGCTTTCGTGTTGATTAATCATTAAAAAAAAAACTTTTTTTTCCAAAAAAATACTTTGAAAATATCTCTATACATTCAATGTCTTAGTATCATTGGGAGCAGTGGCGTAGCGAGATCGGGTGTCACCCGGTGCGGCACTTAATTTTCCATATAAAATCGAATATTTTATTTCAACAGTTTCCATATCTTTCCCTAGGATAAATCGGATATTTTTTGGAATAAGTAAGAAAAACCCTACACTTTACATAACAGAGTACAATTCTCTAAAAAAATTACCCATTGTTTAATTACAGTAAAACGAATTTACTTAGCGAATTTCATGAAAAAAAAATATCCTCATTGCATATAATTTCCAACATATCTTATGGGTATAGTTCATAAAATTGAATACAAAAATTATAATAATTATTCAGCGACAAGTTTGCGTTGTTAGTATGTTAAATTTATCCAATAGGTTGATTGAAGTGAAAATTAAATTTAAAATATGCAAATAATTTTTGTGTGGTGAATTCTGAATCCATCAATTCAGGGAGACCACACATCTCAAAGTGGAGTTAGAGACTATTTAAAAACATAACGACTACATCACTATATTCTTAATTTATAGATTTATGTTAATTACAACTAATTAATTGCTATTAATAATTACTTAAATTCAAAATTAATTAGAATATTTCTGCTTGAAATTATAAACATATGGAGGTATAATTTTAGGAAATAATTAGCCAATTATTTAGCAGGTGACGTTGGTGCTGTATTTAGATTTTAGATTGTGGTGGGGGTGCTGATGTTTGTTGTGGTTTGGCTAAACTCAAGTTGTAGTTGTGCTGATGTTTGATCTTGTGTGGTGGTGCTGATGTTTGTTGTGGTGTTGTGGTGCTGATGTACGTGGTGGTGTGGCTGAACTTAAGTTGTAGTTGTGCTGATGTTTGTTGTGGTGTTGGGGTGCTGATGTTTGAACTGGTGTGGTGGTGCTGATGTTTGTTGTGGTGTGATGGTGCTGGTGTATGTGGTGGTGTTGTGGTGCTGATGTATGTGGTGGTGTGGCTGGACATAAGTTGTAGTTGTGCTGATGTTTGATCTGGTGTTGTGGTGCTGATGTTTGTTGTGCTGTTGTGCTGTTGTGAAACTAAAGCTGTACTGGGATTGATGTGTGACAAAATGGTGTATGCTATAATAAAACTCGTGCAAGCTTTGATAGGTTCTTGTGTGTCTTTGAGGGCCTGGTGTCCTTTGTAAATCTGAAGTGTGTTTTGTAGATATATATTATTATAGCTAAATCGATTTAACTTATTTCAGAACTCAAGAAATGTTAGACACACTTTACAAAGATGCTCATAAACTTAGAACCGTCAATTGGGGTATGAGACTCGACAGTTCAGTTGAACCCAGCAACCATTGAAACATCAATGTTGAAAACACTGATGATGCAAACATCAGCCCTACGGCACTGATTTAGGTTAAATCCCTTCATTATAGCGGTATCATTGCTACAATCGTCATAACAACCATACATTCTTAGATAACACGAAATTCGAATAGGCAAATCACATTTAGAATGAGATCTAGGGTGAATTTTAGGTATAACATTAACATAATACTACAACAACGCAACAATAATGGAATCTTTTGTTTAAAAAAAAAATTCTTTGGTCATTTCAAGTAAATACGAAAATATAACTTGCTAATGTCAACACTAATCTTAACCTAAACCCTAACTAAAGATGTACCATAGTCCATAGCCCTAACCCTAATTTCTGGACTTCGCTTGTATCACACTAGATCTACTACTGACAATCTTACACATTTCTTTTCCTGAAGGGCCAAAGATCAGCCCCTAGTAGCAACAACGTTTTAAGATCCTTATCATAGAATATAAATAAACTCACCTAATGGTGTATACTACAGGTATCGGTCGATGACGTAATCAGTCTCTCTGTGAACAGACACCGCTTCTATCCTCACACTACAGCTACCTTAGAATAATTGGTCCCTTACGGCTCTGCCCGCTAGCTTTTATCTGCAGTGGTACCTAACGTAGTGTCGGGTCACGTGGCGGCCGGTCGACCAATGGGAGAGGAGCTTTGGGCTCGAGCACTTGTCACAGGGACTTCAATAATCTTTAGTCGGCCCGTTAGCTCCGCCCCTAACTGCCACTCAGAGAGATGATCCGCGGGTCAGTAATGGACCCCACTCCTCTACCCCCCCCCCCCTACACTAAGATCATTCACAGGGTCCGAGAATAATCACGGTCGCACTTGATGACGGTCTCTGGTTTTAACTTTTGAAGAAAACCATCGCCATTGAACCCAATGTGTAACTGTTACACAGTCTAACATTTTACAGCCGAAGATAAATTTTACGGTTCCCAGAAAGATGCACAGTCGGAAAACTGCGCAAGGGAAAACTGCGTAAACAGAAAATTATGCTAATACAATTAATTATACTAATACGGTTTTATTTTGTCTTATTTCGAGGAAATTTGTTTTATTATGCTATGATGTACATTTAGTCACTCTGTGGATATCTGTTGATGCTCGTTGCCTATATTTACGGTCAGCAAATTTTACAGAGGTTTTTTTAAAACTTCTACTTCTAATTGGTCCGACCGAATGCTGGCATTATTTGAAGCAATTATACTTTTGTTTAAATTTTGTTTAAATCCATGTCATATTGCAAAATTGGCTGTGATGCTTTAAGCCAAGTGCAGACCGTTATTTAAATTCGTTAAACTGTCGGCATCTGCTCCTAGCAGAACCAAAAAAAAAGAAAGCTAAAAATGATGGTTTGTTAGTTGAATTCGATTTTGTTATAAACGGTGTGAGCTTTGTAAGGTAGTATTATATTGAATCAGGTACTGTTAGCCTAGTGTCTAGATAGTTTAGACTCATCCAATTCCTAACCACCGTAGTTTTGATTCAGCTGTCTCACATACAACTAACATGTTTGTTTTACTATAGGAATTAGCTGGCTTACGATAACCGAAACTGTAATTTTAAAGTAGTATAGCTCTCTGTTTTGTTCCCATGACTTTTTTTTTTCCTTTCACCATCTACTTATACTCATTTAAACTCTAACTTAATGTTGGGTTAGTTGCCTTACACTAATCAAAACATCTGAGACGGTATAGGTCTAAACCGCCGAGATAATCCAAACCCTAACAACATTCGTTTTAGATTAACCAGCTTACTAACCGGCTAATCGGTATAATAGTCCTAAACATAACAATAGCCTTTACCTTGACCTTAATCTAGCCCTAACTGTAACAATCGCTCCTGACTGACCTACTGAATAAAAGACGTGTCCGATAGTATTACATCTGGAATCAATATGGCGTCATTATCGTACTGGAGCTGCTTGAAATTCTTCGAAAATTGCAAGAGTTGGGGGTGGGTGGGGTCCAATGCGCTTTCATTCCGCCCCTGATGATCAGCATTGTCGTGTAAAACTTATAGCCTATCTTCACATTATAACAATCGACACGATACTTTTATGAGACAAGAAAAGGTTTGATGTTCCAGGATATTGTAGAATTACAGCTAATAATGACATAAAACAATCACCGATAACTAGGACTTAAGCTTGTCAAAACCGAAAAAAAAAACATGTATATGGGCTGTATTCATCCTTTATCTCACAGAAATTCTTATCTTGCATGTTAACCTCATCCAGTGGCGTGCAGAGGGGGGGGGGGGGGCGGACGGGGCCCAGGCCCCGGGCATCCACCACGGGGGGGCATCCAGCGGAGTAAAAAAAATTTTTTTTAAGTAATTTAAAAACTGTTGTGATACGTCGTGTCATGGTGTCATCGTAACTTTCCATATGTTTTGCGATCTCACTCAAAAAATTGTAACACTCAATCGTCTGTCAGCCGTTTTAACATTACACTGTCCGTATGGCAAAACTTATATAGAAACAGCGGGCATCAGTGAAGGGTAGTCCTACGGAAGTCAATGATATTCCATTAATAAATGTGTGTCATATTTATTTAGTATAGTGTAGGGGCATCGTTTAGAGTACTTGTGACCAAGTTATTCCCATGCACTGTATTAGGGCATCTTTAAAGTAATATGCGCGTATTCGTTATACTCATTTTCAAGGACATCCGTCGAGTAATTAAATCATATTTATTTTTATACACTATAGGGGCATCTTTAAAGTAATTATTCGTATATTCATTATAATATATTTTATGAGCATTTACTAATATGCCCACTTCACTTTATAATACATTTTAAAGGCATCCATACAGTAAGTATGCCCATCTTCATTTTATATATTGTAGGGGCATCTTGAAAGTAATTAAGCTTATATTCATGTATTACACTCGAAGGACATGCAACAGTAGTTACACCAAACATCGTTGTTAACATTGGGGGCATCTCTAAAGCTTTTTTTTAATGTACTTCTTCATTATTATCCATTTTAAGGGCATCCAAAGGGTAATTATGCCCATATTATTATTATAAATTTTTGGGGCATCTTTGGTGAAATATATGGCCATTTGCAGTGTAATAACTATTTTTTGTTAAATTGTATGGGCAGCATTCAGTGGCGTAGCTAGGATTTTCGGTCCCCTATGCAAAAATTAACAATGTTAATGTTAGTCGCCCGCCCTCCCCCACACTGAATGCCACTGCCTGTACACTAAGAAAGGACTTGGGGCCTTTTTTAAATTAAATTATTTCTACAGTAGAAAAAAAACTTGATTTCATTAATTTTTTACAAATTATTTATATAAAATAAATATCAAAATTCCAATGTAAAAGTTTTAACTTTTTAAAAGAAGGAAAATGGCCCCTATTTGCCTTGGGCCCCTATGCCTTGCTTACTCTAGCTTTACGGTAGCTAAGCCACTGACAGCCATTAGTATATTTTTTTTCATGCATTATATAAGCATACTTAAGAATAAGAATGCCCATATAATGTTTTTGATACACTGTAGCGACAATCTTAAGAATACGAATCAACATATTGTTTTCGATACATTGTAATGATATCATTCAGAATAATTGCGCCCATATTGATTTTCACAAATAGGAGGAGCATGCTTTAAGTAGTGTTAAAGTTAAAGTTTTTAACTCTGGGTTTTATTTCAGTTAATAGTAGAGCTATCTATAGAGTTATTGAGCCCATAATGATGTAATGAAATGTGGGGATGCGGTGTGGGTTTTTAGGCTATGGAAGCCGTTAGTGGATTATCCCCCACCTGAACTAGACAGACGTACTTGGGTGTTAAATTTGTGAAAACGCGTCCAAGCCCAGGGAGGGTCTGACATAGCATAGTCGAATTTTAAACACAGTCCGATTTAGAAATGTTTTTTTAAGCTGGCAGCTTTAGTGGTCATCCATTTATGACGTCCACACGGGGGGGGGGGGGGGGTCCGAAAAAAATTGACTTTTGTGGACGCGTGTGGACAGGGGGAGGGGGGGTTGGCCCAATGTGGACGTCCACACATTAAATCTAACATTATTTTTGGTAGTGTGAAAGAAAAATATTTCCTAGCGAAGCTAAAGTTCAACTATCCTATCTCTCTGGCCCTTTAACCACCCAGCTTGGGTCTATGCCCTGGCTTAACCTGGAATACAATAAGATATCCAATTACAAGTTTCCCACATTTGCATCCCAGGTCAAATACCAGGCGACCACTTCTTTAGGTAGGCTGGGTCATCCCAGTTCAGCTGTGAGACGGCAGAGGGGTGGAGGGGGGGGGGGGGGGTTAGCACGCTGTCCCTGTTCAGGTGTGGGACACGAAGGATAATAAAACACATTTGTACGAGTATTTGTAATACTATATACACTCAGAGTATATACACACTAAATGCAGTAGCTTGAGTAATAGTGGAAGAAGATTATGCAAAAACTTATAGTCAGTGTGGACGTCCACGGGATGGGGTGGGGGGGGGGGGGTCCGTCAAAAGTGGACGTTTGTGGACAGGGAAGAGGGGGGGGTCCAAAATCCCAAAAATGTGTGGGCGTCATAAATGGATGACCCCTTAGCCAACCAAGGTACACCTCTGTTATATTCAAGGTTCAGATAGTTTGAGAGTATCTAGCATCACTCATCTCTTTAAAGAGTTGACGTTTTGACCAAGTGGTTTAGAGAGAAAAATCTGAAACATCTCTAGTTCAATGCACACTCTCACCTGTATTAGTTACACTATAGGAATTCCTAAACAGGCCAAGAGAGAAACATCCCATTAATAAAGGCATATCTGACGCCCTAATTGCAGACACGGACAGCGTTTTTGTCCCTGCGGTCCCGGGTGGTAATACAATACCGGATGAGACTCTTTTGTAGTGCATCACGGCCCCCCCCTCCCCACCACGACCCGTCCCGCAATTGTCTCCCCCCCCCCTTCTCCCAAGTTCCAACCATTCATTCCATTTGGATTTAGCTGGCTGTAGTCAACGTTTTCATCTCAATTAAGATAAGTACATTTTTTAAAATAAATGATATATATATATATATATATATATATATATATATATATATATATATATATATATATATATATATATATATATATATATATATATATATATATATATATATATATATATATATATATATATATATATATATATATAAGTATTTATGGGGGCATCTTCCGCTTGATTTTGCCCCGGGCATCTACATAGGTCTGCACGCCACTGACCTCATCACATGTTATGTCTGAGCAACTCTGAGATGTGTATATGTATATGTGTATAAGTATGTGTGATTTTATGCACGTGTGTATTGTGTACGTTTGTGTGTGTAAATGTGTATTTGTGTATGCATTTTTCGGCGAGTGTGTTTGAGTGTATGTGTGTGATTATGTATTGCTTATCCACAATATCGCCCAGACGCGCCAGGGCGTGCTGTACGAGTTTGATTGCATGTTGAACATCCTCCTTAATAGTTATGTAGAACACCCATCACCGACCGCATATGTGTAAAGGGCGTCTCGGGGCACTCACA